CAAACGCCTGGAACAGGCTAACAAGTACCCGGTAGTATTTTTAATACACAGCTTAGGAAATGCATTGGTTACATCTGGTGCAGTTGTTCACAGTGACGAAAAAGAAGACAACCAGCAAGTTGTTGACATGGTGGCATGAGGAATATAGCTTGAAAAGAGTTGGAGTTGACAGTTTGTGACGCCACCACTGGTTTTCCTGGGAAGTGACGTCTGAGGAATGAGTACACAAATTAAGATCTGCGATCGGCGACAAAACGAGTTGAGACACTTTGCCCTAAAGGAGCTTTCTGACATTTTCCTGACTTCAAAAGGGGAAAATTTAGCTTTTCCTCCCCCATCCCCTCAATTCAATGTTGTGCCGATGTTCAAGCTACCTTTAGAAATCAACAAAAAACCCAACTTTGAATAGAGGGGACAGGGGAGGGGTGTGGATTCTTATGTTCTCTGAAGTTACCCTATGTGAGTTCAATTTCTCAACAATTGCCGAGTGTGGGTAGTGTTTCTGATTGATTATGCCTGCCCACAAGCGAAATTTTTTGCTTCCACCAATCAGCAGTGCTTCCCAGATCTGGGTAGTAACACGTTATTAGTATGGAATTTCTGCATGCAGGTATCAATTCGTGAGAAACTGGTGGCAGCCTTGCAACGTGTTGGCTACTTTCTTACGCTAGGTGAGGATAGAGCTTCTCTGGGTGATGATTAGAATAGTGATGAACATGATGAAGTTAATATTTGGTGGAAGAAGATTTCGTTGAATTGAAAGATGAAAATGAGGGTGGCAGTGAGGATAATATGCTGTAACATCAAATTAGTAAATAAAAGGTCACTTTTGTTCTCACCTCTGATACCCAGCTGATGTTCATTCCTTCTTTAATGTAAGTTGCATCCATCCTAAGGTTGACCAGCAGCATATCAAAGTCAGCTTGCTGCAAACAAACATTTATCAATACATGATATTTAGTGCACAAAAATTTGGTTAAATCAACTGCCTTATTTATAGTGTCAAAAATACTGATCTTAGCCATTGACAAAAATTAGGCCAGGGCTTGAAAAGTCAGTCAGTTTCTGACTCTTTTCTAATTTGGTGGTAAATTAAACTGATTTGAACAAGTCAGATGGAAAAAAATGTGTTTCACTCCCCTACTATTGCAGCGACAAAAAATTCTTTTGAAAAAGCTTCATCTACAAATAATTATCAAGATTATTAAATATCATTACATCATCAGTCTTATGTGCTTTACCTTGTAACTAAATAAATAAGTTTTTTGGTACCAGAAGATGTGCTATCTGTACCTGTATGTGTACACTATACCTCAAGCTCTTTAATGAGTAAGGCTTCTTCTTTGGTTATATTTTTGACTTTTCCATTTCCAAGATGTACACTTACAACCTAGAATAAAATAAAGACATAACAACAAACAAATTTCTACACAACACATACATACTAATTCATACTGTGCGGTCCCATCAGCTGTAATTCGATTATCAACAATCATATTAAACATAAACATTATCTTAAATCTATCATCACCAACCTTGACAATTTCTTCAAGAGTATTCTTAGAATCGTCCACCGCCACGAGGTAGCGCACTTTAGGGTTCTGATCACAGATATTCACAATCACCGCTGCAAGATCCTTGATGTGAATAGTTGGTACAATATTTTGACCATTCCCAAAACACTGCAATGCTGGCGCTTGGCCATGCCATGCAGTCTTGAAGAGAAAGTGGAAAATCTCCTCTCCTGATCCGTATGTCAATCCAGAGGCAACCACATAAGTGATGAACTTAGCCTTGTTGGTTTTTCCATGCTTAATTACAAGTTTCTCAGCACTGATGTGTGATTTAAAGTTAGGATGAGCCCTTCTGCGACGATAGTCGTCTTCAGTAAAAGATATTTCTGGATCATCCTGATAGAAAAAGTTGCAATTAAAATTAATTATGAGTCAGTTATGTAATAATGTGTTGTCTGGAGAGCATTAACTAAATTTAGGTCACATCCTCCAGAAGTAGTTTTTTTATGAGCTTCAACAAAATCGTTATTTTGCACCATGGTTTTATATTGGTGAATATGTCATTTGTAATAAGGTCGAACCACAGTAACTTGGGGAAATCATGTGACCTCGAAGGCCAAAATGCAAGTCCAACAGATAAGACAGCAAATTACATCATTCTGGATCATTTCACTCAAACTTCTTTGACTGAAGTGCCTGAGAGACTTGGTTTTAAACCGTTTAATAATGAAAGGAGGCGCATAAATGATATGTGACAAGCCAGAACTAGGCCAGCAGGTGGTGGAAGACACTCCTTAACGGTTTGATGCTACTTCCACTGACATTTCTCAAAGGCCAACACAGTGTTGAGGACTGTTCGAAGGCACATATTTTTATTGCTCATATGATATTTTTCACATCAAATTAAACCATCTCTCAGTCAACAGTGTTAACTACTGCCCTAAATAACTTACAGGATCCAGTGGCTTGCTTCTTGCCCATGTCATGACAGTTGACAGACAGATGAACACTTTCATTTTGTTAAAATTCTCCAACTCTGCATGGAGGGCTGATAATAAAGAGGGAGAGACATTCAAGTATGTCAGAGCTACAACCACTAACATTCTAAATTTGTGGAAAATTGAAAAAAACAAAGTTAAAGCGCATGCAGGCCAACAAGCACTACACACATATGTAGACCTTACATTAAGCCAGTGTACACCGAGATTTAGGGATTGCATATTCCTAATCTCAGTTGGCATCGAAGTGATAGTTGATTGCATGGTTGAGTAAAACAGAAAACAGTACAGTGCCTGCTACTGTTATTTTCTATTTGATAAGTCACAGTTGGCCAGCTGACACTCCTTGATATACAGCTGCCTCACAACACAACTTACTGATTTCCAAAATTAGCTGTAGCCTCTTAGCCAATGAGAGGACAGATAATGAGTACAATGTATAAATCATAATAAAAAAAATTACCTGAAACAGCCCATGTGGCTTCATCCACCTGGTCAGGACTTCCAGTGATATCATATACAATGATATCACATTCCAGTAAATGGGGCAACAGATCCTCTTTGCTGTTGTACTATTTAATAAAAACACAGAGATCATCTCCTTATCTCCATGAGCAAACTCAATTTTTTTGGACAGTTCTCATGTAATCTGAATTCCCCAAAAGTCTTCACTCTCCCATTGGGCAAGTGAAGAACAGAATTAACTAGCCTGATATATAGCAAAATCCACTAGCCCTTAAGGCTATTGTGCACTACTTTCTTTGCACACTGGTCTGCTTCTTTCTTAATTTAAGGTGCACGCTGCTGGACAGGGTGCCTAGTCTAGAAATACTAGTCTTCTTATTACATTTGCCCCCTTCACCTGCAACCTGGACAGATCATGACATACCAGATTTGTGCCTAATACAGGAGCCATTGTGCCCTAATTTCCTATATAATGGCTACAACATTTAGAAAATTAGTGCCCAAAGTGGTGACTCAATAAGAACTCTTCAGCCCACTTTGCTTAAACACTGCAAAAATAAGTCTGTGACAGCGAAGGAGAAGCAAACATCTTTGTTTGTTACATTTAGAAAATTGGTGGCTAACTTTCAGATATTTCTTGCTGGCTCCCATCTAGATATCAACCAAGCACTTTGTATAATGATCTCTTGTAGACTCCAATGAGGCTACTTTGATGCTATAGACTCAATCCTGACCTTGTTTTTTTGTAAGAGTTTAACCCTAATATCAAAGTAATTAACAAAGGGGTAAAATCATTTTTGATTTTTTTAAAAACCTGACAGCTATAACTTTGGCCAAAAGTTTGAAATCTTTTGGAGGCAAGTGGCTCTTGCAAAAAAGTAATTTATTTCATACCCTTTGAGATGTCTTTTGGATAAGTCACTAGCTGATCATGTTCTGGTTTCACTAAGGACTGCATGGTCCAAAAAGTACAGCCCCACCCCAAAATGCTTATAGTAGTCTCCCTTACACTGTTGCCTTCTAATACCCTTGAGATTTATAAAACTGAATTATTGATGAAGCATAAGATGAGGCCAAGATGGCTGAATACTGGCCAAGTTCTTACTTTCTCTTTTTTTGCGCTTTTTTTATGGAGCAAGATTGAGTCAAGGTTGATAAAAAAGCCAAAAAAGGAATGTGCTAATATCCAGCCATCTTGACCAAAGAAGTTTACACTTAAGTGCACACCTCAAACACTTGTTCAACCCACTCAGGTTTGTGCTGAGTGGGATCTTGTAAGGTACCAACAACTTCATAACAACTTTCTTTTGGAATTTGAGGCTGTCCACTAGCTTGAGACTCATCATCATTTCCTTCATCTTCTTCAGCTGTAGCTCCAACAACAGAGGATGCTAGAATCTCAGAAATTAAAAAAAAAAACAAGTATACTAAAGTTACCCATTCAACTTCAAGTTTAGAGAAAACACCTTAAAGTCAGGCCTAATAAAAATGTGGATTTCTTGTTCCAGGGTGTGAAAGAATCAATAGAATGGAACGTTTATCTGATCAAGATGAAGACAACTAAAAAAATTGTAGCGTTTCAAGCTTAAGGCAGTTGATACTACTTAAATCATACAGTCTTAACATTGAATATAAGCTTTATATTTAAGGTTGAAACTTTCAACAGAAGTCCAAAATTGTGGGCCTTGATTCCCATGTTACTGTTGTTAATTCTAGAGGAATATTTCTCTTCTACCTTGCTTATATTCTTCCCAGTGTATAAATCCACATGGTTCACGAAAACCCGCGTTCTTTTTGGCTTATCTTCGCCAGAGTTCAACAAGTCCGCCATCTTTCCCAGTTTTGCTTTTCTCGGACAATTTGTTGCTATGACGATAAGGGAAGAGACTGGGAAGAGCTATCCCATCATTCATAAAGAGCTTCGATAGAAGCTCGTCTCATACTCCTCGCGTCCAAAAAACCTCAAAATACGCCTTACAGAAGTTTTAAAGTAGATGGGGCGCCAGACTGAAAAAGAAAGTTCATGGCAGAGAGTTCAACACACGACGACAAAATGCCAGCTGCAGGAAGAACTAGCGCTCTTTCTGATCTCAAAAACCTCTTCCCTTCAACAGCACACTTCTTTATTTTCGTAGGTTATATGGCGTTATTTATATGCCAAGGTATGAAAAGCTAATTTGATCGTCATGTACCTCGACTTTTTATGGCAAGGTGTACAGTACTAAACAAGATTTTGATTTTAATCATTCTTTCTTCGCTCCTCATGTTTTGCTTCAGGAATTCTTGTAACAGCATCAAGGGATAAAGATAATCATTACGCCTACAACACAACAACAGTTGTGCTCTTGTCCGAGTGTGTCAAACTTCTGGTTGCAGTTAGTCTTCAACTAAGACAGTAAGCAAGGAATCAAGTTATTAACTGGTCTGCTTTATGTATTTTTGTTTGTGTGGTAGAAAGTACACTCAAGGAAGTGAGGTTAGTTTGATTGTATTTTTTGTATCTTTTAATTTAGAGTGACGTTGGGAGAATTCATCGGACACGTTCGTTCTAACACAAAAGGTAAATAATTTAACTCATCCACCGGAAAACCTTGACAAAAGGTCTCCGCTTTATATAACAATTATTCATATTTTATTTTATTTTATATCAGTCAAGAACACAGGAACGATCCAAAGAAATTGATTCTATTAAATTTTGTTAAAGTTGATACAGACACCTTTGGGGGTATTTAATACACTAACTAATTTATTTCAGCATGGATCCAACAGGAAGTAGATTAGACTTATTTCAGATTCATCAAAAATACAACAAAACAAGAATCCAAATACGTAAGAGAGAAAGTCCATATTTTAAGGACAGCTTTCAATATATAAAGTTTAACCTCAGGCCAAACGGGAGCAAAATTTCCAATTCTCAAAATCAGCTGTCTTTAACTTAGAGCTGCAATGATATACGTATGGATACATCAGTGGAATCGTTTCTCGGTCAAAAAGGAATTTTTTTTCCTGTACTTTATTTCCAGCCACCATAATTTTGATTTTTCTCTATTTAAATTTTTTGCTTCATAGTTTTGCTGCTCTACATTGTTCCAGCATTCATGTACTGCCTTTACAACAACTTAGCATTTGTGAATCTTGCAAACTATGATCCAACAACCTACTATCTTCTACTGCAATTCAGAGTTGTCGTGACTGGCGTTATCTTTCAGGTAAGGGAACAAGTTGAGTAAAACAGTTTTGCCCCAATATATCGTTAATTTGGGTAAAGCAAAAAAAAAAAAAAAAAAAAAATTTAATTTGGGTAAAGCAAAAAAAAAAAAAAAAAACAAGAAGGAATATTGAATCAAATTTTGAAATATTTCCTGTCATAGCCGGTTGTTTGGTAATTCATCTGTGCTTAAGAAAAAAGTGCTGTCAATATTTACATGCAGATGCGTTAACCTTGTACTCTGTTGAAATCGTCATGCTGTTAATCAAACTGTTACGTTTCGGGTAATTATAAATAATTTAATGGTGGGTTTTAAAAATTTTAGTTAGCTTAATGGGTGTTTTAGTCTCAGTTTTAGATTCTTATTGAGGCCAATTTCAAAATAAAAACAGTAAATACTTTCATCTGATTACTGTTACCATAGTTTTTCCATGTATTCCTTAAATTATAATTTTAATTTTTAAATTCAGCTATATTTTTCCTGTACAGTGTTGGGAAAGTAGTAGCAAATTTTTGTATAAAGGCAGGGCTTTTGAGGTGTATAATACTAAAGTGAATCTTGGTTAAAAGCTGATTTTTTAAATTAATGTTTAACTAGAGATCACTTTTAGAATTAATGATAAATAGACAATAGGTATAACAGATAATAATTTAGTTACAAGTTAAGATAACATTTTATTGTCGACAGTTTTAAAGGGGTGACAAGGGACTGGCATGGCAACTTCTATGCAGTTAAAGAATTCTGGTATAATGCAAATTAACTTTTGAACTAGTTTTTACCAAAACAAAGAGATAAAATCCATTAAGAATATTTAAACAGTACCATGAAGAATTTCAAATTATGACAGTTTTTATTGCTGAGATAGACCAGCTGAGTTGGTATTCATATTTTCACCATTTGCAGGGGCGGATCCAGGATTTTTTTTAGGAGGGGGTGCACTCGTCTTTTACTCTACTTCAACACCAATAAGCCACATAGTTTTTTTTGCAGAATACCAGTTGTATAAGAAAACCGCAGGTGGTCGCAGGGGGAGGGGGGGGGGTGCAGACCCCCTGCACCCTCCCCCTAGATCTGCCCCTGATTTGTTTTTCAAACTTTCAAGTGAAAACAACTTGTGGTCACCATGATTTAAGTTCAAAAATGAAAGGGATTTTTTGTATTGAAGAAAATCTGAAAAGTAAGGAGAATGTAAATGCCATACAAGAATTTTTCGTTGTAAGTTTCTCTGCAGGGTATATTTTCTGAGATCACCATTTGCCTCTCCCCACCCCCCTTAACATTCAAATTGTTTACTTCTTAGAGGTTAGGGATATAATAAAGTCTCATGATGTCTATTTGAAATTTGTATTTGTCATTATTAATAAATTGATTCCTTTCTACCACTGAAAAAAGTTTCACAGCTCAGAAGAAAAAGTTAATAGGTGTAAAACCCCAGCGGGGGCTGTGGGGCGGTGGGGGGGGGGGGATACTCTGGACTTCAAGTGACAGGGATGATCAAAGGATTGTTTTGGGTGTTTTTGGGTGTTTTGGGTGAAATTCTGCAAAATTTTAAGGGTTAGAAATTTGGCATTGATCTTTTTGGGGTTAATTTTTGGTCCAGGGTCCAGTTGTTGAAAAGGTGGATAATCCTATCCATTGGATAAATCTCTATCCACTGGATAGCACAATTGGTTTCCCTAATACTTATCCTCTGGATAGTAATTTATCCAGTGGATAGCGCTATCCAGTGTTTGAACAACCGGAGCCAGAGGTTTTTTGGAATTTTGTGGGAAACCCAATGAATTTTTGTGGGTTTTGATTGTTGCCCCCATTTAATCATCGCGGTCATGTGAAATCCGGTGTACCCCTGGCTGTAAAACCGAAATTGTGCATTTGCAGTCAACATCTCCCAAATGTTTTGTCAGTAATGCGAAACACAGGGCTCAAAAATACTTGAATTCCAGGATACCCTTTGGCAAGGTACTCTCAGATGTTGTTTGCCCAGGGGCCCGTTTCTCGAAAGTCCCGATAACTTTTCGGACCCGAAATCAAATATTCAAATCGAAATATAAAGAATAAGAGCACCGGTCCTGGCTAACAAACTACTCCATTTTTGTTTCACTAACTGATAGTTTTAGAGCGGTTTTCATTTGAGTGTCGAAAAGTAATTGGTTTTGCACTTTCTACACGATGCGATTGGCTTAAAAGATTCGCGCCACCTTTTCATCCAATCAGAAGTAAAACCAAAGCCAATTGTGATGCTTTGGGTCAGCCACATGTAATTACTTCGAGTTTTGATTGGTTCAATGTATTGTCTGTGTCCTATGTGATTGGCCAGAGTAATTACTTTGGTTTTGGTTTTACGACACTCAAACGAAAACCACTCTATCATGCTAGATGCAAAACTATTGAAACCTCGATCTTTAATGTAAATGGAGACAGCTTACTGGGCCCGTCAATTATCGGGACTTTCCAGAAATGTGCCCCAGGGCACCTAAATACTCCTTGTTTAGGTTTTCAAAGACAAATGGAAATCATACATGGTTGTTTTTTATGTAATAAACCCATCTTGGCTGTAGTCATTATTGTGTTGATCACTCTGAATCATGTTTCATTTCTTCATAATTTATGCTTCTAAAGTGCCTGTTGGCAAAGTGAGCAGAGAAATTAGTTGCTTGCCTAACAGGCAAATCTACTTGCACTGCACTACTAGACAAGGTATTTTTTTGCCTTGGAAACATATTATCAAGTTTTTAGTCAGGGGTGGGTGCTCATCTCATTTTTCTCAGCTCAGTCAGGAGGTGTATTGGGAAGGAAGCTTTTAGATTAAATAATTATTATAATGAGTAGAGGAATTTCAAATTAAACCACTCTTGTTTTTTATTGCTTTTGTTCCAGATATTATTTAACAAGCAGTTGAGTGGACAGCAGTGGTTCTCTTTGCTGTTACTAACATCTGGCTGTATTGTAAAGCAGATTAAATATGAAAACCTCACCACAGCAGGCAGCTCCTTTTCCCTGCGCTTTGATGTGCACTTGATTCTGATCCTTGTTCAAGTATTCTGTTCGTGCTTTGCTGGTGTTTATAATGAGTACCTTCTTAAGGGTAGAAGTGGCGATGTACCTTTCATGGTTCAGAACTTTTTCATGTATTTAGATTCCATTTTTTGCAACATTGCTGTCCTCTGGTTTAATGGTACTTTATCAGGTGCATTCACTAAAGAAAGCATTAGCTCAATATTCCAGGGCAAAGTGTTAGCTATAGTACTCAACAATGCAGCCATTGGGATTACGACTGCCCTGTTCTTGCAGCGACTTAATTCTATACTAAAGACGTTTGCTAGTGCTTTAGAGATTATGTTCACAGCAGTTCTGTGTTGGTTGATCTTTGGAATCCCTGTTGACATTCTTACTTTTGTAGCCATAGCAATTGTATCATATTCAGTAATTCTTTATGCTAATAAGCCTGTGGACAACACGCCCAAACAAGCTAAACCTTCCAGTGATGTTCCTCACAAACCGACTGTTTGAGTTGGCTGATGACCAATGTTCAGTGGCAGAACTTTTATATGTAAAGGGTATGAGGTGTATCCAATAGTAAAATCAAAGGCTTTTGAAGATGTCAGGACCATTGTGTAAAAATGTGAGACCTCAAAGGGCTGTCTAGAAAATTTAAAATAGATGGAGCTTTCCAAACTAGTGTGTGAAAGGGACCGTACCATTTGTCAATAAGAGGTATATAAAAGGGATACCTGGGGGGTACTCCCTTATATAAGCCATGTAGGTATCATGTGCAGCCGCCCTTAAGAGTATGGTGTTTGTGCCTTTTTGGACTGAAAATGAGTAGTATATGCACTTTGCCCACTTTCGTCTGGAACTGGGTATGGTTTTCGAGGGAACGATAGCAGTGTATGAACAAATTTGCCGTTTCAATTCCAAATGAATAAGAAAGAAAAAGAAATACGCAAATTTCAAATGCATAATTTTAGAAAATATTTTTGTTTGCGTTCTAATCTAAGTGACATAATAGGGTCAGGATTAAGAGATTAAGAGATAAAGTTCTTTTCTTTCCAATTTGTGTCTCCTTGAGTCAGAATAATGTTAGGTGATGTCAGGGGTACAACTTAAATGGGTTCAGGTTGGTAATATTTTTACATTTTTGGCTGATCATGGTGAATAGTTTTTAATGCACTTTATGAGGGGAAAGCTCATTTTATTCACTATTGTTTATAGTCAGTTTATTTATTGATGATTATGAGGCCCTAGCCATCACTAATTTTGGATCATTTGAATTGTAAATTATTAGTGTGCACTGATGATCTGTTAACATGATATTCTTTTATTATAATCACTTTTTAACTCTGTTTGAGCTAAGCTACAGTACCTTTGACATGTATAGATAAGCAACCTCTGTCTGATTATTATGAGCTCTGTGGAGTTGTTAAAAATGTAAAAATAAAACCTTTTAACCTATTGTTGTGATTTTTGTCAACGGTAACTGTCTCAGTTGAATAATTACTGGCAGAATTGCTGTCACTTTACTGTTTACAATTGCTAAGACAGACAGTTGACTGGTTTTTGAGAGCTGAGCATACTTGACTGAAACATAAACCGCCTAGTCCTTGCTTGCTACAAAAATAGCCCACACTCCAGTTTAACTTTTACTCAAAATAGATCACAGGAAAAAAGGAATATGCATCAACCTAGCAACTGGCCAACCATAGGCCAATTCATGATAAGTAATCCTTAAGGACTGGAATGTAAACGGTCTGCACTTATATTTTGCCTTTTAATGTCTCAGCATTTCTGCCCGTTTTGTCTGCAATAGTTATTTTATTTTCTTACATGTACCTGTAAAAAGACACCCTTTTTGGGTGAAGCATTTACACTTGGTCCACTTGATGAAGTTTAAACACCCCCTGTCTTGAATTCTCCCATCTTTAGTTTCATGCACACTGCCCCGCAATTTTTATACAGGAGCGTTTTATATGAATAGCTCATTTCCAAGTTTCAAAAACTCTCACTTTCAAAATGAGGCTAAGTGCAAAACCTTTGTTGTGAAAATGAGTTTTATTAGCATATCAATGACTTTGCACTTAGACTCACTTTCAAACAGAGGCTTGCAGCAACTCGGGAATGGCCTATTGAAGTGACAGGTCTTTCAATAGTAGACTAGTCTTGCACTAGTAGTTTTGAAATACCACCACACTCTAGTTTCTAGAATTTTGGTCAGCTTTAGCCTGCATGGCCAGGAGCCCATCCTTGCGTGGCAGGTTTACTGAAGGGGGGTAGGAAATGGGAAACTGAGGTGCATCAAGACAATAGTCACACAGGGAAGGAGGGAAGGAAACTACCTCACATGCATGTACTTGTACACCTTAGACAAGTAAATTGCCCCCACCACAGAGGATAGGTAGGCTTTTGCACTTGGCCAGAACCTGTCAACAGGCCCTAGCCACCAAGACCAGTCTTGTTGTAGAGAGTATTTCACGATTAGTCATGACTTTCCAGTCATCCAGTCAGACCGGTCTATTCCTAATCAATACACCTGCGATCAGGCTGTCCTTTCGTGCTTCTCAACCCCCCACCCCAATTCCTCGACGCCTGATCATGGGTTAACTCAGTAGAGGCACTTAGCATTCTATCACCCATTATGCAGTCTTATCCACTATCCATTATCTATTGTGTGATAGACAGAGTGTTGTAAAAACATAGCAATGACCACTTCTTTTAAATCGTTCCGTTGCTTCTGACTGATGTTCCTCCTCAGGCTCCCGTCCTCCCCAGAAAAAAACTTTTGATTTTAGTTTTTTTTTTTTCAGATTTTTTGGTTTTAGTTTTGGGCCTCGTTGACCATAGTATGCACAGTATTGGTGGGTTTTTGGCGAAATACGGTTCGTTTCATTTTCGAAACGACTGGTCCAGCCGTAAAAATTTTCGAAAACGCCCAAATACGACTGCTACAAGGGTCTGCACCCTTGGCACGACGTCGTGGGAACGAGGCTGATGAAAAGACGTATGACGTCACTGTCTGTTTTTCCGCCATGTTGGCTTATAAGTGAGTTCCTTTACCTCGTGCAAAAGAGAGTCTTTTAACTGGTAATTGGGACGTTTATAAAGAATATAACCAGTGTCGATGAACGGTATTAAAGATACATGAACGAGATCGACGTTGATGAAACAACAAGGCTGATGTCGGACGAACCGCAGCCCCAAAATTATGACGAGGAAGGCTCCTCTCGTGCCCGCCGTCATCGCCGTCAACGAGAAACTGAGCAAAATACATACACAGTAAGTCTCTAAGGTGCAAAACCAGCTAAATTACTTAATAAATTTTTTCAGGCTTTATTGGTGTATTTTGGAGGTTAAATCTGTTAGTAAACTGGTGCGTAGTTACGTTCATGCCTATTTTGAAACATATCAGAAAGACGCGAGCTTTTCATTTCCGTTGGATACCGGTAAAATTAAATGCTGGAGTGTCTAGTCAAGATGAAAGGACTTTTTTCCTGTTGTAAACGTGCTGTAGGTTTCAATGCTTAAGTGCCTTACGCCTTCATTTATAGTCTTTGTCTCTGATCATGTCAGCAAGTTGTCTCAGTGAATGTAAAGTTGAAAGACTGACTCAGAGATTTATATCCAGGCATTTTTTTCCGTTTGCTAACCTCTCATCATTTAACTACTCCTCTGGCCCTACAAATGGTTTTATCCCCACCCCATCCAGTCAGCTCGCTCTTGGGATCTGTACTGAGAGTGTATGTTTCAAGAAAGGTGTCAGTCTTATAAAATGAGGTGCCTATTAAGTTTACACCGAAGTTACCTGCTTGTCATCTTACTGGAAGTCATCTTGCCTAATATTTATTTAATTAAGCTGTGACCTATGTGACTTATGCAGTCAGTCTTTCTATCATTACTCCTTTTTTGTCTAAAATAACACCAAATACATATTTTTATCATATTATGTTTGAAAGTGTCAATAAGGAGGTGCACAATGTGCAAGCCAGTGAGCCAGCAAGGCATGCAAGGCAGACGTACGAGGCATCTGAAAACATGCAAGGCACTTAGAAACATGTGAGGCAAAAACAATTCATTAAAATAAAAGAATTGGACAGGTTTACACAACTCGTACAGTTCGTAAAGAATTCTTTGTTGACACACCTTTATTTGTTCTCATTAAAAGGTCATTGAAGGATTTTCCCTTGCAAAATCATATAAAGGGAGGTTTCTCACTAAATTTCTTGTTAATGTTTTTGGTTCGGCGTGAGGTGCCATTTCCCCATCATTATAATAATTTTATAATCTTTTAGGTGCAGATTTTTTCCTCTGTTGGAGGGCTGTTGGCAAATCGTAACCTCAGAGTGGTACTTTCTCACAGCTGGATAGCCTCTGTTCTTTAGGCTAGATTCAAAATTTCGAACCTTATTTTTCCTCAGAAGGAATTTTTTTATCATAAGTCCTAGCGTTTTTTTCCTTTGATAAAGCCTATCTTTACGGGTTGACAGAGTAGTGACACGAGTTTGTGTACAGTGAAAGGTATCTCTGAGTTGTTATGTGTTTACACGTCCAGGATAGGAGACGTCTGCACGCAGGCTTTTAACACACAAATGTCATAATAGACTCTATCCTGACTCTATAAAAATCTCTGTAATCCAATGCGCAAATTTTGCCTCTCGTACAAACCTCTCTATTTCATCTAGACTGGGGAACACATCGTTAAAAATACCTTTCCAAAAAAGCAGTTTGGTGAGGATCTGCTTTAGGATTTGGTTCTACTTGTGGCTCGCAAGTCTGCTCACATGGCTCGCACATTGTACACACTTTGTAAATAAACTCTGTGATCAGGCAACATAGCTTCAGGCAAGATGATGTTTTTCCAACTTGACCAGTTGCTGTAAGTTAGGAAAGAGTTGACTGTGGGGGGGGGGGGGGGGGGGGTAGAAAAAGAGCAGCCGCTTTTGAAGCGCGGGGTGTGCGGAAGGTATTTCTGTTTATTCTGGTGTGAGGGACAAAGGGGATATGCAATTGAAGCACAAGTATGTGGCAACACGCTCCCAGCTGTGCGCAATTGTTTAGTACATGTTAAAATAATTCCTTCAGGCAGGAGAATAGACTTTAAGGAAAGTGTTTTTTTTTCCAGTGGGGTGGTGGTTTTAGTAGGGAAAAGTGGTGGGGGGGGGGGGGGGGGGGGGGGTAGTGTGTATAATTGACCCAGCCTTTGAAAGTGCAGTATTGTGTAAGTCTCATTCTTGTCCTCTTAGGATGATAGACAAGAGGAATTTGATGATGAAGATAATGAAAGGATGGGCAGAGAACGGGAGAGGAGCCCTAGGCAGCTAAGAGTACGAGATGAGTCACCTCATGACAGTGAGATGGATGAGGAGGAAATGCTCAAATATGGGGCTAAAAGTGTCATGATGCTGATCATTCCTGTATCAATGTGTATGTTAGTTGTGGTGGCAACCATAGCATCAGTTACATACTACACTCGCAAGGGAGGAACGTACCTGTAAGTCTGTCATTCCATGAAGAGAGTATAATAATTATTGACTTATGGAGAGTTTTCAAATACTGAGACTGGAAGGTTGTTCACGTTTCCATACCAAGAGACAATTTCATTGGTCAGTGTAGTAAAATTTCACAGGTGTAATTTAGCATTGCAGCTATTGCTTTCAGATTCTCAACCGATAGCTCTAATAGTAAATGACAATTGTAAAAGTTTTATCATATCGACCCAGGATACTGGTAACCTCATGCAATATTATAGACAAGTTTGTGTTGTGGATCATTGAATAATTCTTTTTCACCTGGTCACAGAGACTGTTACATGCAACCTCCCCCTAGATAATTGTTAGCAGCCAATCAGCAAAACATCCATATTCTGGATATTTTCATACATGTATTACAGGATAGTTTTTGGTTTGGCACCATCATATGGCTGTAACAATTGTCTAGAGGCATTTTACGTGGGTCATTATCAGGGATGTACAGTGTAGCTAAGGAAGAGATGAGCAGGCTTTTTTGTTAGTCAATTCTGCTTTTTTCTGAACTGCACCTTCAAAATTTCGGCATGTCCAGAGCAATTTGAGCTGGTGATGAGCTCTTTTTCAGCCGGTGAAATTAGCTGGAACCCGGTTCTTAGCAACATCCCTGCATAAAGAGATTTGACCCAAACTGCATACCGAGCATAAAAAGACACTGGCATCCAGTGTACCAGGATATAACTTAACTTAGTGTGTGTTGTGAATCACTAGGTAAGTGGTTACAGATTGTCTCCTGTTTCAGAAGTGGAGAATATGTTCAGCCCTATGATTTTTTTTAACCAAATATTCTATATATCTTTTCCAAGGGAACTGAAGTGAATGTTAGAAAAATAACCTTCTTTCGCTGCAGATAATTTTGCTTTAATTTTCTTATTAAATCATTGTTACTCTTTTCTGTTTTATTTAGTGTTTACACTCCATTTCATGAAGAAGGGAATATAAGTCAGGCAAGGAAGGCTGGAGAAGCAATTGCCAATGCCTTTATAGTGATTGGTGTTGTCTTGGTGTTAACAATCATCCTTGTTGTGTTGTACAAGTTTAGGTGCTATTGTGTGAGTATCTAGAGCTACATTTATTTATCTACTAGTAATAATCAAAGGTTATGCAGTGCGGGGGACATCAATCAAAGGTCAAAACGCTTTCGCTTCAACTCCGTGCTTTGGCTAAGATTCATGGTGATTTGCTTAGGCATGAAAGAAGTTTCAAACGTGCCTCAGATCAGATTGTGTTTTGTGCATTCTATTCATTCTTAGTTAAAGTCCAAACAAAGCTGGCTGAGCAACCTAGAGATTATGATTGTGGGCTCCTCTTGTTGCCTGCAATTAGTCAGTGGTAAATTTCAAGTTTAGGGTATTACCATAGTATGAAAATTCAAAATACATGCATTTTAACAAGGTTAGAATTAGGTACATGTACAACTAACAAACCCAAGTGGAAAAGCAAAATATAGATGTATCTTCCTTAATATGATAATAATATGGGTCAAATATTGTTTTTCAGATTATATCTGGATGGCTAGTTTTATCTTCGCTTATGTTACTTTTCTTCTTTGGATATATATACTTCCAGTAAGTGTAAATAATTGACTTTTTCCTATAAAGTTGAATAAATAACTGATCTCAATAGTAGGTACAGGATAGAGTGTAAAACCATTTTGAGATTGTTAATGAATAAGGACTCTTACAGCTGTATGTAAATATGTCTTAACCTTTTTTGGTCAAGCAAATCCATAAACAACAAATACATTTGAATACAGCCAATAACAAATTTTTGATATTGGCTGTATTCATAGAGAGGTGACAATTGATTGTGTAGTATAAAGACAAGACACACATTTTGTGGCACTAAACATTAGACATTTAATTCGTCAAGATATCTTGGGCTTCCCGTTATATATTAAATACAATATTAATTTTAAAGGGTCTTTCTTTCTCAGTAACATAAATGACACTCAATTTTTGTCAGTGCAAGACTGTTGTGCCTTGTCACCCCCCTTGGTGAATCTAAAGCATTCAAAAATATACAGTAGTACAACTGTATTTTTGTATTGTTATTTTATTAACAGTATTATGCTGGTAATTCCTTCTGTACTTAAAAGAATTTGTGTATTTCTTCACAGGGAGGTGCTAAAGGTGTACAATGTACCCATGGATTACTTTACATTATCACTGATAATCTGGAATTTTGGAGTAGTAGGGATGATTTGTATACACTGGAAAGGTCCCCTTAGATTACAGCAAGCTTATCTTATATTAGTTAGTGCCCTGATGGTAAGTTCAATTCTATTAATTTACACCCTTTTAACTCATCAACAAAGATGAGTTTGGGGGGAGGTGCTCCAAATGTTGGTGAGGCCAAGAACCGAAGCTGAGAGCAACACATAACCATGACAACCCTGTGAGTGGCAACCACCCGGGCACCGTCACACTGCTAACCAGTGGAACCTAGAATACTTACCATATACTTTACCAAGGGGAGGGCAGGGAAGGGGGCAAAACAGACTAATGAGAATGAGCAACAAAAACATATGGGCTGACCTCAGCAGAAAAGCTGTAAAACCCAAACGCCCCTGCGAAGCTACAGAAGGCCCCCAAAAAGCACAAGTGAGAGACTGATGGGCAGCATTGTCTCAAGTTTAACTTGGCCTAAATTTCATCTAGATGAAGTTAAATAAATATTTATTTAACACAGTTAACAACAAGGAGCGCGGGCCTGGTCAGTGGTCAGTCGCTTGGCTAAAGCAAGTGCGGTCAGCCTTGCTTGTATCACCTCCATGTGCTCAGTGCAGGGTTTTCCTGGCTGTCATTCTCTTCGTTTAGCCTTTGGATCATTCTTTTACCCCCATCCCTCCCCCTCCTTTTTTCTTCCACTGTTAATCAGTGTGACAGGTACCTGGTTCCATTGGTGTGGGGGCTTGTGGCTGGAGGGCGTGGGTTTGCCAGCGATGGGGGCATACCTCTGTCCAGTGGCTGACTGTACCAAAATTGGAAGCCCCTGGACATCCTGGGCACCCACCTCCACTAAGTGACGCAGTTGTTAACTTGGCCTAAATTTCATCTAGCCACATTTAGATTTTGGGTCCTCCCCCTCCTAAAGGTCCATTGTAAAGAGTGGCAGTGTACCCTACCCCTGCTTTTTATGACCTTCCATGATACAGGTACGGATGTTGCTAAGGAAAAGCTAAGCAGGCTTTGTTACTCAATTGCACGTACAAAATTACTCCATGCATTCATTTGCCAGAGTAACTTCAGCCAGTGGTAAGGTCTTTTTCAGCCAGTGAAATTAGCCAGGAGTTGGCTCTTAGCGACATCCCTGTAAAAGTATTCATATTGTTTGTGTTTGCATTTGATCTGTTTGAAAGTTTCTTAGAAACTTTAACTGGCTTAAAATCAATACCCCCCAGTTGTCTAATTAGCAATGACCATTACTTTGGTATTGAAATTGAATGAGTTCGTGGAAAGAAGCTCTAAGTGATCTGATAAACTGCCAGATTCTCCTTCTACACTGCCTTGCTTTTACTTGTGAGAGAAAAGGAGAATTTGACGTAAGGTCAACATTCACTCTAGTGCCTTTCATACAGCCCTTCAAATGCAAGGTTGAAAGCAAAACGAGTGTATGTAACAATTTGGCTTGATACTAAGAAACTTCACTTATGAACTTGAATTGCTACTGGTGAGGTACACTTCAAGAAACAGTGTGCACTGCCATTTTGTTGGTTTTCACTAGCAACGGAGTTTGAGTCAAAATCGCAAGTGAAGTTGTAAGAGCACTTATGTGACCTTGTGAAAAAAATCGTCGTAAGCAGTCATAAGCATGATGAAATCAGTCAGAAGAATCAGAACATGTCCATTTTCTTCCAATTCCACTTATGCCTCTGTTGTTTACAATCTAGTGAAAACCAGATTGTCAGTTTGGGAAGCCAAAGGGGAAGGATAAACCAATCACAATGCACATTCCCATACTTTGTGATTGGTTTAGTTCTTCTGCTTCTGCTTGCGACTTCAACAACCTAGTTTTCACGTGATTGTAAGCCTCTAGTTTTCAAGGTAGATCAAATTAAACTATGAGCCGTGATTAGCTTAGCTTAGTTCACCTCAGAGGATTGAGTTGTGTCCTTCCCAAGAGTCAACGAGCACTTGTAAAGTTCTTCAATCAGTGTGTGCCTGGTTGGTTTTCCCACTTACAGTGTTACATGTACTAAATACTGAATAATGCATACACTTTAAATTCATTGCTTTTTTAAAAACTGTGTTCCAAAGTTTTAGCTCTTAGCTCATATTTTTTATGTGACTGACTTCAACCACCATACAGCCATAGTATTTTATAATCAATGGAGGGTCAATGCAGGGTGCTAGGGTTTTCATTAATAGAAAGGTAAAACATCACATTTACACAAATGGCAAACCGCAGAGATGATCACACAGTTAGTGGTATGGTAAAAAGTACTGATGAATCTGACATCAATAAAATTAATTTTTCACCTTTTTTTTGTTGAATGCTACAACACTTGGTATAAAACCCCGTCTTAAAGATGTTTTTTCTAACCCTACAGGCTCTGGTGTTTATCAAATTCTTGCCAGATTGGACAACCTGGGCAATTTTAGCAGCTATTTCACTTTATGGTAAGTATCAGAAGGCTGCAGACTCGATGTCTGTATTTTATTCTGCCACTGTCTTTTAAACTTCTTTTAGACTCCAGAATCAAATTTTTGGGTCAGAAAATATTCAAAATGGTTTCTCCCTTCCTTTATTTTTTTACTTAACATCAGGTGTTTGACTTCCTTTTTTTTTTTACTTAACATCAGGTGTTTGAATTTGATTGTGTTACAGATTTGTGTGCTGTCCTCTGCCCCAAAGGACCCTTGAAGATCCTTGTTCAAACCGCCCAAGAACGAGATGAGCCATTGTTTCCATCTCTTATTTATTCTTGTAAGCTCACTTATTTAATGTCTCTGTTGGTTGAAAAACAAATAAACAAAAAACATCCTGTAATAATTTTCAATTCCATACCTAAATGATATTTACAGTGAAATTTGTTGTATTGTGCTGCGTGTATTGCAAACTTCGAAGGGATTTTGGGTTTTTCTGTTCCGTCAATCATTTTAGTGAAGGTGGGGTTAAAGCTAATCTTAATGTAATGTCCTCGCCCAGCTTGGCTGATAATGACTCTAGACTGCTCAAGAATAGCGAAGGAAATTGCGATGGTGAGTGGATTTTTTGTTGAAGGAAGGAGGCAGACGTTGCTTTATTCTTGCAAGTGGCAAGAATAAGAAAGATCAGAAAAAACTGTGAAGCAAACTTATCTAGTCAATTATTGCTCAAAACAGGACGATCGCAAAGCAACGAATCTTGAAACACGAAACAAACAAATGGATCGAAATCCACGAATCACAAGTCATGACCTTTTGAACTCGTGCAAGTAAACATGTGTTTCCTAAGAGGTCTGCTAAGATGATTGACAGAACAGAAAAACCCAAAATTCCTTTGAAGTTTGCAAAACCAACACCGCTATACAACGAATTTCGCTATAAGCATTCTGTATTCTCACAACTGCATGTTTGTGAGAGGGCTTAAAATATTAATTTATTCTTGTGCTTATTGTTGTTAGCCACAATGATGTGGACGATTGGAATGGCTGATAGAGACAATTCCAATGACTCAAGAACAGGTCCGGGAACAATTGGTAACACTAATGCACTGACAGATGATGAGGAAGAATTTACAGGGTCAACTGAAGGTGTTGGGCCATCCAATGAAGCAGCAGAGGATGCAATAAGGGCACTTGGTAGTAATGATGAGGAACAAAATGTAGAAAATGCACCACCAGAGAATCAAGAGGATGAAGAAAGTAAGGAAAAATTTATCCCTTGTTGTAACCAGGTTGCATAGAAAGTCATGTACTAGCCCAAAAGTCCTTTTGTCCAGGCCCCCCAAATCTTTTGATAAGTAGGTTTAACAAAATATTATTAATTAATTACTCCATTGGTGACCTAATTACTGGATTCATTAATTCATTGTAAAGCTATTATTAAATGAGACTTTTTTAGCAGCCTTAGGAGCCTTACTTCTGAGGTAGATTGTGTGGATCACACATCTAGTCTGACATGAAATGTAATGTGATTCTTGTTTTTAAAGGCTTAAATTTGTCAGATCAGCTTGAAAAATGGCTTTTAGTCCACATGAATCAATAAGGAATTTTCAGTTTGTCCTGCAGAACTTATGTAATTGGAATTTACCCAACTTTTCCTTTGGACAAGTTAAGAACAGAATTCACTAGCCCTGTTGCAAAATCCAATAACCCTGGGATATCAGACAAGACTTTCTTTGCATACCCTGTAATGCCTACATTTGTACCATGTCATTAGGTGTACATTTTGGTGGTTTACGTTTCAGTGTATTGCATTACTCTTTCCTTCACATAAGTCCTAATGAGTGCCTTGTTCTTTTCCGTTATCAGAGGGTGTTAAATTAGGCCTTGGAGACTTCATATTTTACAGTGTTCTTGTTGGCAAAGCATCTTCGTACAAGGACTGGAATACAACCATTGCTTGCTTTGTGGCCATCCTTATAGTGAGTATCAGTTGTGAATAGGTGTAATGTTATTTAAAGGTCATTGTCTAGAAAAATGCCATTTTTAAGTTATTAGCGAGAAGTAGAAATGCTCTCCTTATATACATATTTCGGGTGTCTAAGAGGTCGAAGGTCTTTTTTTTGAAAAAAGAAAAAAACACAAAAATCACAAGCTGATTAGCCTGGATTTGACACGTTCAGAGCATTAGGCTCCCTTCAATTTTTCTCAATGCACAGCCTTGGAAGACTTTTCATGAGTGACCTTTCCTTTTTGACTCAGAGTTCCCCACCTCCTTTGGTTTGCTAGCAAAGAATTTCTGTAGAAAAATCACCCCAGTCTAGAGTTTGTCTTAACATATTATTTTCTTTCCTCTTGCAGGGTCTTTGCTTAACACTTCTCCTGTTAGCTATCTATAAGAAAGCATTACCTGCTTTGCCTATATCCATTACTTTCGGACTTATTTTTAACTTTGCCACAGCAGAGCTTGTCAAGCCATTCATGGACAGTCTCTCCAGCCAACAAGCTTTTATTTGAACTTAGTCATGTAGTTTCAAGAGTTGCTTTAATGAACGTGTATGATAATGTTGTAATATTAATATTGATCGCAGATCACATACTTGAAAAAGGATGTTTTTCGTTTGACCTTGAATAATAGTTCCTATGTCTGTTCATCATTTGTTTTATCAGTCAACGGTCAAAACATGGACCCAGCATTTAGCTTCCAAAGAAAATCCTAGAATGGAAAACATATTGTTTGATTGTCTATTCAGCTGCCTTTTTTTGCAAATAGTTACAGTAAACTGACTTTTCAGCAATCTTCCTTTAGCTGGGAATGCATAGACCTCTTTCATAATTCTTTCATATGTATATAAATGAGCCTTTCTAGTCTCATTTGAAAATACGAATTCTTTTATATTTTGCACATGCTAACGAGGTCAGAAAGGGTTATTGACATACATATAAAAGAATAATATAGGCCACCATTATGAAAGTGGTCTATTGCATTTTTGCTAAGCCAACCAAAAGCCAAGTGTGTTTGTGTCTTTTTGACAAACCAATCAAATTCGCATATTTGTTTCAATGTTGCTTTGGTTTTGATTGTTCCAGATCATTTAAAGGTCGAACAAAAATCTCTCTTAAGCAGAAATGGTAATAAGTTAACTCTACCTAATATAGCCAAAGGCCAGCACTAAATGTGAATCTCAGAGAGCTGTCCTTCTTAATTATGGAGAGTCAAAAGAAAATAATGACTAAAGAATTGGCAGGGACCAACTGTAGGTGTATGCTATAGGGAAAATTATGATCAGAGTTCTAATGAAGGGCCATGACCCACAACACCAGTTGCAACTGAACTCACTTGATGTTATGAGCGATTGAAGTGGAAAGCTAGAGGTGACACCATAATTTTTGTGTGATGTTAGGCATGAATCTTCATTTGCTATGGCTGCTTCAAAACTTAAAGACAGCCTTGATGAGTAACAATGTCTTTTATATTTTGTATAACAATATGGCATATACCAGAAATGAGTAGAGTTCTACTTCCTTTTCTGCTTGTCATGATAATTTTGGGTTTATTGTTCTGCATTGCAACTACAGTTTTATATTACTCTTTCTGCGGGACAAACGTGATAACTTGCTCACAACACAAAACTTGCAAATGCTGGTAATGTAAACAGCCAAGTTCAGAGAAGACCCTTCAATTTGTGTAAAATAGCTTTGTATATTTTTTGTATTAGCTGTTAAGCAGATTGCACTACAAAAGTGAAGCTGGTATGTATAAAACAATGATAGCTGTTTGTGAGCTTGTCTCTTGCGGTGATGCCTATTTGTCAAGTCAGATCATCTCCAATAGTAATTAGCCGATAATTATTCATTTCTTTATACAGGGACTACATTTTAGCCATGATATGAAAATAATGTAATTTTATTATTCTAGAGAAAAATCTGTACAATCCACTTTGTTTTTCATTAATTTCGTTTTTCATGGCATTTCTGCCAGACATGATCACTATTACTCTTGGAAAGTAAAAATTAATATAAACCTTTTTCCCCACTATTGCTTGATAATGGTCATACATTGAAGATTATTAAAAGTATTTTTTGTCATTAATTTTGTCCTCCTGAGTATATTTATTTCAATACAGTAACAACCAAAGGTTAGAGAGTGCAGGTGATATTGATTGAAGGAAGCTCTTTCTTTATCATTGTGCTTTATGCAAGTTTCACGCGATAGATGGTCTAAACATGCATTTCTGATTGCATTCTATGCATATGTATTCCATTCATTCCTTGTGCAAGTCCAAATGAAAGCTGGGTACACACATACCACACATGCATAAAAGCAACTTGTAGATTAGGATTGAGGGCTATTTTGGTTTCCCGCAATTGAAGACTCCAGAAAATACCATAACATACCATAATGCTCTTTGTTTGTCACCCCAAAATTTTGCATAAGCATTGTCTTCAATTTCTCTTGGGAGTTAAAATGGCCCCAAGAGAAACTGAAAACAATGCTCATGCAAAATTTTGGGGTGATTAAACAAAGAGCTTTATGGTATGTTATGGTATTTTCTGGAGTGGTCAATTAAAATCTAGCAATGAACACAATGGTACTTCTTGTAGCATTATTAAGGCAGTAAAACATTGTCACATGTTATGTTTTTACAACTAAGTTAACCTTACAACAAGAGTGGTCTTGTGTAAATCAAGCCTGGGACAATCACAAAGTACATATACATGTAAGTTTTAGTTGCACAATATAACTCAGATCGTATGCTTATAGTAAGCACATACCATGTAAATCAGCCGTTAGATTTCTAGTTATTTGGAGAATTTGGTTTGCATCCTCCAATCAGCACATAGTAACACAGGTATACTTATCATGCTTTAAAGGAACGTATTCTGTGACCATTCCCTTATTCCCTCATAGATTGTTGCCCAAAGTGATCAAAAGCTATTGTGCAGCAGTTGTCGAAGCAAGACAGGGTAAAACGTCATGGAGCTGTGTGCTCAGCATTTTGAACTTGATATAAAACCACCACTGTTCTTGTTTTAAATATACCAATCGTTTATTGTCTCAAGAACTATAAGCAATAATATTGGGCTTCAACAGTTTTCAATATTATAATGAGCCTCAGAACATTTCATTTTAATTCAGATCTCTTAAATAACAGCTTTAATACAGTAACAAAACCTGGTATTTGTACAGCTCATGATCCACTGCTTTGCAGTGTTTATTCAATATTAATATGAAAATTACTCCTTTTGAAATAAAATACTTCTCATGGATGTCTAAGACCTCCTTCACTAGAGCTCTGACAGCCACTCCTTCATGTAGACACACTTGCTTGGAGAAATTGGCCCACCTTCACGACAGCGATCTGACACCTGGAAACAGAGAGGAGAAATCCCTGTGAGAAAGCCACATTAACCGTAACCAGTTGCCCCGCAACTGATGTTAATTCTTCATAAGACTCACAAGTTTTGCTTCCCAAATAAAACTTCAATAAAAATCCAAAACTTCATGGAAAATACCAAAAGCCTTAAGGTGCCACGTGAAAGTATTGGAGGTACTGTTGGAAAGATTTCATTTGAATGATCACACCATAGGATAGCCACATCATATATTGACTCTAAATTGACTGTGAATTAATTTAACTAATGACGGACTTATCTTTAAGTTACATGTTTGAGTCATTGTATTTTTGTCCATTCTGTACACAAAATCCAACTTGGACATGCAAATCCTGGTATATCTCAGGAGCTGAGATTATGTTGGTTTAAATTTTATTTCCCTTTGTTAATTTGGGGGTATGCTAATGTATCATAATGAGTTTGAAACAAAGGGAAATAAATGGGGTATGGGTGATTTTAAACTGAGGTCAGGCTCAATTTTCGTTTTGCTTTGTAAAAAACATTCCAGCGGGTAAGGCGAACTTTTAGTGATAGCCATTAGAGAGAATGACTGTATTAAAACTGCTATAATTGGGCCTGATCTCAGGTTAGGGTGATTTGATTTGTGTAAGAATAAGCATTTTTTTCTCCCAAACCTCTGGAGATATAATTTTTTTTCAGCATTATACGCCATGAGAGAGATATTTTTTTTCACTGCAGGAATTTTTTTCCCAGATAGTTCCTTGCAAGATTATTTTTCCCTTGAAATCAGTCTGCAGGATATTTTTTTGTGAAATCACCCATAACCCTAGCCTGCGAACAGCAGACGCATTTCCGGTTGTCGACTGGAAATCCGTCTGCTGTTCGTAAATGGTTGGCCCCTTTAGGTTCCCCATTTTTGTTAATCTACAAGTTTTTCATTTCAAAAGTATCAGCTGATAAACAAAATCTCACCGGACAAACACCACATGGTGTCCTCATGAGTCCTGTAACCGGCATAAGAGGCACAAGTGCCCTGAAGAGTTTCTTCTGTCCACCTGTTGATGACGTGTTTGAACTGCTATCAGCTACAAGTGACATCTCTGCCTTGCCATCAAAGACTAATGTGTTTAAAATGGTTTCAATGTCCCCTTCTGACAGTTGCACCTGGGTTGATGTACATGTAAAATGTATGCAATGAAATGCTGTTAATAAAATAATATTATTAATAACAGGGCTCTACAAAAATGTCCCATCCGATGGTCTGGGACACGTAGATTTTCTTACCAGGAAAGTAACTTTTAAAGCTTACTTGGTCCACACAAGTCATCCACTGACAAAATTACTGACTATGACAAGTAAGTTAAGTGGGCCCAGGCAAGCAATATGAGAGAGCTCAAGATTGCCCAAAGGACAAACTGGAATTCAAGGTTTTTTCTGGGCTCTGACTAATTAATTAATTTTATTGTTCAGAATGAGAACACAACCATCCACAGTTCAATGTATTCTACACTGAAGTCTTCCTTCCATGATAATTACATGTTAAAAAAAGTATCTCTTGCACTTGGATGCTGTTATTGTTGCAGGACTGTATTTTACCTTGCTAATTCCCAATTCAGAGATGTACTTCCACACATCATAACAGGACGAATACGAAGCATTTCTTTTACCTAGAGGATTTAGATTCATTCTGTCTGCTTCTGCAGCCTACAAAGAGCACAAATCATACTGTAAGAAGTCTGATTAGAATTAGTTTAGGCTCAAGCATACTTAACTCAGGTACATGAAGACAACATTTTTTAAATTCAGTCTCTCAAAATCATCATCACTGTCACCACCACAACCACCAGCACCACAATAATATTGTCACCATCACAGATGTTATCATCATCATCATCACTATCATTGCTATCATCATCATTACATTATCATCATCACTTCTATAGCATTCAGAAAAAAACAAACACCAGATCCCAACTTAAGGTGTCAAAACAGCAAAACTGGTATGCAAAACAACATTTTGTTCTGTATCATGCAATCATCATTACCACCACAACCACCACCACCACTGTCGTCATTATAATCATTGTGATCATCATCATCATTATAATATGCATCATTCACGACCATGAACATCATCATCGTCACCTTCACCACAATCACAGTCACTAATAACAACTTTTGAAACAGGACAACAGAAAGAGGAGGACAGCAAAACATTTGTGTGTGACAAACATGACATTACTTGCATGTTTTACAATCTTCATTTAACTTAACATAAACTGTGTTCTGGTCCTTCTATTATGCCACGGTTGTCACACAGGTTTGCCATCTTCTTTCCTCTCTCGTCTTATTGCGTTGCTTCACTAATATATTATTGCAATCATCATCAAGCAGTCAGTAAAAACTAAACATCAAATCCTTACTTGAACAATAATAATAATAATAATAATAATAATAACGTGAATATTTATACAGGATAACCTATCAGTTCTAATAAAAAGAACTGTTATCAAAAGGGTCCTGTAATTATCTCATAAATAGCTAAAAAATAAAAAATAAAATTGAAAAAGGAAAATAAAATAAAATAACAATAAGAAATCTAAGATTTAAAAATCAAAATCTGTAAAAATCATCAACTTACAAGACTGAAAAGAGTTATGAATTATGGAATACTATTGAAAAAATTGTTTTAAATTACTCTTATAAAGAAACCTAGAATTTACAGTTCTTAAATGCCGAGGTAAAGTATTATAAATACTTAAAACCGATCTGAAAATTACAATAAGAGTCTCTCACCCTTTGTTCAAGATACTTGTAACACTGCTGATTTAGTACTTCTACAAATTCGGATTCAAAGTCTTGATCACTGTACCAGGCTCCTCCAGTCACTGATATATCAGGCTCCAAATTAAACAGCATGTATACTTTCTTTCTAGATGCCTAAAGAGCAAGATCATTGGCAGATATATCTTATTTTCCTTGTAGCTACAATTTGCAGATGACCGAAAAATTTTTTAACTTTTAAAAACTATGGACACAAGAAATACTTTTAGAATGTTATTGTGTTATAAGGAAATTAAGCCCATCAGGTGTAAAAAAACTAATTAAACCACACGCAACATGTCTTACAGTCCCCAAAAAACTTTGCTTGCTCATTGGGCAAGTTTAAGAGCAGAATTCACTGGTCTGATTGTGGCAAAATCCACTAGTCCTGGGCTATTGGACACAACTTTCTTTGCACACTGGGGTGATAAAAAACTTAATTCTATGATCAGTACATCACAACTTGGAAAAATCTTATGCTGATTGATTCTCAGGGAAACTGGTTAAAACCTTCTATACTGGTACTTACAGCCACAGATTTAACAGCTTTGATGAGTTTCTTGCTTTCTAAATTTTTTAGAATCTTGTTGACTTGTGTCAACTGTATGTTGCTTTTGAATCTGATATCTCTAATCCAGATACCTATAAATACCAAAAGAATGTCACAGTGATTTATGCCCATATACTTCAATAGTTATTTTAAATAGCATGTTAATATTTTTGAGAAATGACGTAATCAACATGTCAAGAGCGCAGGACAAAGAAAAATCTGATTCCTTGACAGTAATTAAACCTGTGACCTTCCAAACACCGGTCAGATGCTCCAACCACTGAGCTACGAAGGACTCATGATTTTGTCATACAGTATACAAGGTTCATGGATGACATGCGTCCTACATGTACATACTGATAGGATCAGCAAGCTTGGTGAAGAAATAAGAAATGATGTAAACAATAATTAACAAAATAAATAATTACCAAAAAATTCAATCACCTTTGTTTCCTGCTTCTTCTATGATTTGATATACTAATTTTTCTTGTACATCAAATCCTTTTGTTTTTCTGTTGAAAAATAATGTTTCAGGATCAAAGCATAAGTAAACCAAGTTGATTAAGTTAATCCTTGATTTAATAAGACTATGTTAATAGTTAAGAGAATATATAGAAAAATATTATTGTGACAATTAAAGCAAGAGAGATAGATCGTGATGATGCTGTTTCTAAGGATAGCCATTGCACGACAATGAAGGTTGTGAAAATAATGATACTGATGATGATAATGTTGATGAGGATGATGATGATGATGATGAGGAGGAGGAGGAGGAGGAGGAAGATGATTAAAATAGTTTAAAACTGTGGTGCTGCTACTTCTAGTAGGGCCAAAAGGTAAAGAGTTTACCTTGGTGTAAAAACCTGTGAAGTTTTTCTTTGTTTTCTAGCTATTATTTTCCTTGGCTCTATTGAGGCCCTGCCAGAGGGGGGGGGGGGGGTCCCATGCCGCCCGTTTGAATTTTAAAAAGGCGGGGGTTGGGTTTTTTAAATTTTTTTGGGTTTTCTGTCACGTTCGCATTTTCCCTGGGGGGGGTTTTTTTTTTTGGTGTTTTTTTTTTTTTTTTGTTGGTGGTTTTTTGGGCCGTTTGCCTTTTCGGATTTTTCTAAAAAAGATCACTGTGTAGGGAAGGGGGGGGGGGGAGGGGTGAGGAGGGGGGGAGGGGAGGGGGGGGGAGAAGAAATGATTTAAAAAATTTTAGAAGGGTGGGTGCGTTATTGTAAAGAGGAAAAAAATGTAAAGTTTTTTTTTGTTTTGAAAATCTTTTTTTTTTTTTTTTTTTTTTTTTCTTTTTTTTTTCCGTGGCCTTGTGGGGGGCGGGGGGGGGGGGGGGGGGGGGGTCCCATGCCGTCCGTCTGAATTTTAAAACGTCTGGTGTTGGTGTTTCTAAATTATTGTTGGCTTGCTGTCACTGTCGCAATTTGCCTGAGGGAGGTTGTCTCTTGTCGTGATTTCATTTTATGTGCTGTCGCTGCTTTTTGGGCCATGTCGCTTGTCGGAATTTACCCTGGCAGGGCCTCTCTATTGTGTTGACTTCTCAGTGGCATCTTTGTATTCATTGTTTTACATCACTCCTGAGTTTCACAGGTTTTTACACCGACGATGAGCTAGCCAAAATCTTTCCCTTTGCATTTACTGAAATTGGTTTAACTTACGTTGCTGCTTGAGCATCTTTATATCTGTACAATAGCTGTGTGCCACTTTTTAGAAGTTCAATCCTTCCCTGTGTATTGGAAAAAAAAAATTATTCACACCTTCAAAGTATCCATACCTTTACTACCACATAAGCATTTACTATGGGACTGGAAGTTGACATGCTTTTCAAGTCAAGGGAAGGAGAAGTTGACTCTGGAAATCACGAGATATTAAAATTCCCCTGGGGCTCCACCATCCTGGGTTTGAGGAAATACCCACCATGGAAAGAAGTCTGTTAATGGCTGTAACTCTTTGTTGAGGCGGAATATTCGGCATATCTTGTGATATTATCTGGTCTGTTATTCCTTTAGGGTTCTCTTTACAGAGCTGCACGACTCTCTCCTCCAAATCAACTACATCTACAGCTTCTTGCTTGATAACCACGTCTGCTACCGCCATCTTGGATTCTTTCTAACTAGCTTAGTAGCCACGCGATGAAATGGCTTGGTAACCGAGTGGTTTCCAAGATGGCGGCGACGTTGTACTCACGATGTCTTTCTCTTTGCATAGGTGTTTTTTTGCCAGAGGTTTGAAATAATCTATTTTCACCGTACTATCAGCAGGATCACCGTTTCCACCTTATAATGGAAGCAACTGACACGTTTTCACTGGACGTGGCCAAAACTTCTTTTCTTTCCCTTTTATCAAGTACTGATCCCAGCGAGGTCGGAAATTTCATGGACTGGGTTATCAAACACTGCTCTAGCGTCAACAGCGATGATGGTACAAAAGACAGCGCTAATGATTGTGATGGAACTCTTTTAATACCAGGAGATAAAAGGATGAAAAAGATTATTAAAGACATTAAGAAGAGAATTCCACTTGATGGAATAATGTCCTCAGAGAACATCTATTACCCAGAGGGAAAGGTGATTTTAGAGTGGCTAATTTAATTTACTCAAGGCTCCTGGGTGCAGATACTTGGGTAGGGACTGGGTTGCTTCCCAATTAGAGGTTGAAGGAGATGTGCTCCTCTAGATTAGGTTACATTTTTATGACTAGATGGAGGGAGTAACATGTCTAGAATAGGGTGATCTCTATTAAAGGAATGATTTATGGTCGTTTTGCCTACGAGTTGTTTCACCAACATTCTGTTTGCTAGCATCATAAGTAACGTGTTAGGTTAGTTCCCCTACTTCCTTTTGCCTGATCTTTGGCTTTAAAGAACAAGATTTAAATAAGTGTCGCACGTCCCTTGTGTCATGGCTAAAAGAATGAGGGATATACATGTGCAGAACTTGTTTCGTTTCTTAAGGAAAACAACTAAAGGTGTTAGCAAACGGGACTCTAGTGAAATGACTCTTAGGCAAAACGACCAAAGGGACATGGTCTGCTGATGCATATGCGCAAGCCATTAGATACCATTTCTTAGTCAATTTGCATATCACAAGATATGCGAATCACACTGCTTTTAACCAAACATGATAAAATAAATGAGTAAAAGAATAATCAGGGACAGGTTTTCTGTAAAGTAACAAAGATTGAATGAAATTCTAGGCAAAAGTAATGTGGATTTTTAGATGTATTTGACCTGTATTTGATTTTAGATCTAGGTAAGTTGTAAACACTTTTCAAGGTTGAAAAACTAGTGTCCAGGTCAGTGCAGTCCTAAAGCTGACTGTGTCCATTTAACTCTTCAAGGCTAGTGGCTCCAAATAAAAATGAAAGAATTAGTAATTTTTTGACAGAGTGGGGTTATAAATACCCTACTGGGGAAACTCTCAAAAGAAAGCGACTGGGATGCTCTTTAATAATAATTATTATGTTGCAGGAGTGTTCCCTGAAAAAAAAATCAGTTTTTTCAAGGGGAGGCCTGGAGAGGAGTTGGATGTGCACAGGCTTAGGGGTTTTATTTCAATTTTCTGACCTGCCATCCCATCCCAGAAAAGTACCAATCTAAGAGGAGGCTTTACAGGCATGGCTAAGGAGTGAAAATTGATTATTCCTTTGTAGTTAACAGAAAAAACTCTTCTCACACACTGACTGCCATTTGTCTGCCACATGAAAGTGCGACAGCACTTTATTCACAAGAAGTGTCAACCATCACCACAGTTTACAATGGACAAAGGAAATAGATGTTGTAGTTCAATTTTTTTCTCGTTTAAATTTTTTTTTGTGACTGGTAAGGTGCAAGAGGGCGGAAAAGCTGTTGCACAGTACTGCAAGAAGCAATAACTGAATCATGTGAAGTGTGAAAAATTATACCCTACCTGATGCTTTTTTTTAAGGCCAGTGTGAGAGAACTTTATTTCTTCCCTCTTTTATGGAAGCTTAGCCAGCAAGAAAAACATTTCTGTTTCTTTGCTCATAGAATTCAGATTGTGACCCATCAACTACAGTTCATGTTGACTCATTCCTGTACAGTGATGAAGATATTGACAGACTTTGTGATGAAGGCAAAATGAGCCGTAGCTACTGTAAAGAATGCGGTTCTCACAATACAGCTCCACTCAGTAAGTCTGCTGTGGTTATCTAAAGAGTGACTGCCTTGTTCTCACATGTGTGTACCTGAATTGTGGCCTATACCTTTATTCAAAAATTTCTAGTCTTGCAGTAGGGGTGCCATCATGCAAGATGTCTATGTTTTTGGAGAACCCCATTCTCCACTTGTTCATTTCTCATAATTAACCTTTAAGTCCCAATAGTGACCAAGATCAATTTTCTCCTAACAATATCCATACACTGTCAAGAGATAAGTTATGAGAATTAATAAAATGATCACCAAAGAGAAAATGCCATGATCTTTTATCAAATTCTCTCAACTAATTCTTTATGGGATTGGTTGTTAGTGGTTTAATCCATTTCTACACACTAATTTTGTTGCATAAAAAGTGTTATCAAATATCCTAAGTAAAAAAGTAAATAAAGAAAAAAAAAAAATTAAAATTTATTATTAATTTGTTTTGGGGGGGGGGGGGGGGTGGGGGGCAAACAAGGTGTACTAATATGGGAAATGCACAAGAGACAGAAAATAGTACTGTACATTGTACTTCACCTGGCCAACTTTTTGTGACCTGTCTGATAGGGTTCAAATGTACGTACTGGCCAGGGGGTGTAGTTACCTATATGCTAGTAGGCATGTGCGTAACTGAAAAAATGTCAAGTCAGCTGCATGAGAAATTATTAATTTGATTTTTGGGAGGTGGAATAGGGTGGATTGGGAAAACTGCATGTACCTCAAGAAAATTTCTAGCTATGTTTAAAAAGGCTAATCACTTTTTTCTGATTTAGCCTCTTGCAATTCTCCTCTAGCTTTCATATCCCACTCCATGCCACTACTGCAGTTGCGTTTCCTGTTTGAATCAGCCCTTCCATCACTGCTAAGCAATCTTAATAACAAGTGTTTGGTGGACATTGGATCTAGACTTGGAGCTGTACTTTATGCGGCAAGTATTTTCTGCTTATTTTATCCCCAGAAATAATGTTAGAGTTAGTTTGAGTTCCTTTTATGGTAATAACGTTAACAGTGGTGGTGATGATGAAGATGATGATCATCATTATGATAGTGATAATGACCAAGGATCATTTTTATTTATCTTGAAGAAGCCTGAATGTGTTGCTGAAACTAATGTAAATGGTTTCTATTTTACTTGTTCTTAAATAAATAATTTTTGAAACCACAGCATTTTCTTTCTTTTTTTAGCTCAACTCGTTCAAGTTTGAGGTGTTAATTAACTGTAGTTGTTATATTTCTTCTCACAGGCATATTATTTTAGTGCTATTGAGAAGATTATTGGAGTTGAAATCAATGCAGATCTGTGTGGCCTGCAACAGCAAATAATAGAAAATTATAGTATGGCTGATCGAGTGGAGGTAAGAGAAATAAAATACTTTATTTCAACTGTTGATAAAATTACAACAACTAATTCCTCATTAGTTTTGCATCTCTTTGATGACATTGCAGGTCAAATGTGCTGATGTTTGCAATGAGCTCACACTCTTAAAAGAAGGTAATCTCGACAACCTGAAATTCTGAGGCGAATGAGAAATGGTTGGGGATTTTATAGCAACATGTTAGTATTTTAAATATTATATAATTAAAGGACAAATAATTTTATTAGTATTGCTAATATAAATAAACAAGAACACTTGTGAAAAAGCATTAAGTCTTGCTAGCTTGGAGATTAGATAAGAAATGAGGAGGCGATTAATTTTACACAAAACAGGATTTCCTTGCTAAAAGTTATTCTATTCCTACTTTATTGAAGGTTGAGTATTCCTCAGGATATTTTACCTAAATCCCGCCATAGTCAATTGGACATTCGGCAACACACCCAATTGAACTCCAATCATTTGATTGACTTTGATTACATTCATTAATTGAACACACTCAAAACTTTTGCCAATCGAACACAATCAAACATTCAGAAATCAAATAATTATTTTAGCAATCGACTCATTTCAAACAAGGCAGTGCTGTTAACAAAATAAGTTGTGTGTTAGCTTCAATTACAAACACAAGTATACAGGGCAGATGTCGGAGAGAGCAGACACAGTGTAAAACATGAAACCCAGCATAAAACTGACAGTTTCATTTTCTGAGTCTCGAAAAAGCAAGAGAGACTAATTTGGGAATAATGGGATCTTCCGCCTAAAAGTCAGTTAAGTTCTATTTTACTTGCTCAGTGCTGTTTTTTCACATTGTAAGGAGCAGTGGGTGATTTCACCACAATGTCCCAGGGGTTGGGGGTGGGGGGAGGGGGGTTGGGGTACTCAAAGATATGTGCTGCTGAGGCCTTCAAACCCTGACCTTGTAAGAGACCTTATTTTATTATGACCCAGATCCTTTTTTACATGGAGAATAAAAGTAATTTTTTAAACTGACATCCTGGAGTTAGATTTTTTTGAAAAAAAAAAATTGTTGGTACCACAAATTATTAATGTAGACTGCTCATTGTCAACCTCCACACTCTTTTAAAGGCCTCCAGTCCAAAACGACACACTGTTCAAAACATGCTTGCATAAAATGATTTTAGTTTCCTATTATTTTATTTCTACAGCTGACATTATTGTTCTTAACAATGTCTTTGAGTTTTTCATGCCTGTGGAGGAACAAATTAGGTAGGCAAACCTGTGCAGTTTGGAGGATTACAACAGTTGCTGTAAATCCCTTAATTTTTTTGCATCCAATTTCCTTTTATTTCTTTGTGTGTCAGAATGTTTTACATTCTTGTTTGTACAACATTAGGGTAGTTGTGGATTAACTAAGCTTAAGACTATTCTTTTTAAGAAAGCTTTTTCATTTTAGTATACACACTGTTATGTACATCTTATCATTTAAAACTTGATAGGGTTTTTCTTCTAAGGTTTTGTTTAAAATGGGTTACTTTTCTTTTAAAATAATTAGGCACATTTAGTTTGAGATAATGCACCCTATTATTGTTATTTTCGTCCACAAAAATCCATTAACTTTGTTTTTCAGAACTTGGAAGATTCTACGAGAGCATTTAACAAAGCGTGGCTGTATTATAGTGACAGTACCAAGCCTTAAAGAAGCAACACTCTTCAACAACAAGGTAAGATTGCCAATTGGCACACAGTGCTGGTTATGTATTTTATTAATAAAATTTCTACACAATTTTGCCCTCCACATTTTGGTAAGATCTGCCTATTCAGGAAGTCAAAATTTTGAGCCCCTCTTGTCCAGGATATAGTGAAAACCCCTTCCTTAACAAATGGCTGCAGGTCTAACACATGTAACTTGAATCTGTGAACGAAGAGCACCAAAATAACTTACAGTTAGGGGTAGTAGCAGATTGGGACATGTTTGAACAAAATTTAACTTTTCTTTTTTGAGCGTTACCTTTTTAAACACCTCTAACTTTGAAAATCATACACAAGTTTTTTTTTGCCAAAAATTACCTGTTAGAAGCACTCAAATGGTATATCACACAGTGTCTAAGTGTTCAGTTATTAAGAAAAAACTTTGTTTGCCTTTTGGGGGGAAAAATTCAGTAAAAACTAACAAGTGTGTAGAAGTTATAATTATGGGGCGTAAAATTTGTCCTCAAAAATATACTCTTTTTTCGACTGGGGCTTGTTTTCAAGAGAGTCAATTTAATTTTGCATTTTATTTCATTTTTTGACAGTGTCTAACAAAAAATTATAACATTAATTACATTGATTTTTTTCAGCCATGTGTTGATTTAGATGAATGGGTACAACCATGTTCTGTAAATTACATGTATCATGCACAAAATGTTTCTTGCTGTGATGAAGATATGGAGGAGCTTCAAAACATGTTCTTCTATCAAGTGAAAGTGAATTGACTTAAATACAACTACAATCATTATTTAATTATTATTAAAAGTAGATTATAATAAAAAATGCACTGACATTCAGCCTGGCTTTTTCATAGTGTATCTTTGTCTTGTGTTACAATACCTGGCTCTCTCACAGCCTTCCTTAACTGAAAAAGGTTTTGACTGATTTTTATACATAAGAATAAAGGTACATTGTAAACAACATTTTTGACCATTATTTCTTTCTATTTATAAATTAAAAGAAAAAAAAGAATGTGCCTTAAGTTAAAGTGATACTAAAAAAATAATTGATGACTCTGTGTTGTTTGAGCCCATTTTAATTTATGACACAGGCATCAGGCGCGGATCCACACCAGTTTCCACTGTTTTACGAAAATCGTTCAGATTTTTCATAATAGATACATTTTAAATAAATAAAAAACTTTCCAAGCTCCAAGGCTTTATCTGGGGAGAATGGAACTGGCCAAAATCCTGTCTGAATGACTCAGAATCCCAGGAAAGGGAACATTAGGGAATTAAAATCCAAAAGATTTCCCGGGGGAGCATGCCCCCGGACTCCCCTAGAAGCGTGCGCCTTCGGAGTTCGTTTAGGAAATCGGTCAGTGTTTATCCTAGATCCGCGCCTGGGCATAGCACAAGCTCGAGCTAAGGGACCTTATGCTTTGTGAAAATAAAACTAAAAAGGGACTCCAAGAGGCTCGCACTTGTGCTTGTATCTCCAACAGAAAATCAGTTTTAAAGGATTGATTACAAGAACCAAGCTGGCCCAGCTTGCCCCTTAACCAAAATTTTGGCACCTTAGTTACACACCTGTCCAAAATTACATGACAACTGAACCACCAAGGCAACTTGAAAAAGGGACTTGGCCAAACAGATGGGGCAAGCCAGGATCATGTAAAATCAGTTCCCAAGGGTTTAGTACAAGATGGTACACAGGATATGGGAAAAAAGTAATAACAAAAATAAAATATTATTATTTCATGATCTTTATTTAACATTTCCTACACTGTTATTATTAGTTTTCTTTGCTTTATTTACAGCAATCTTTCCTTAGCTTTGCAGTTTATAGGTACACTAGCTGACAACAAAACATTAACAAAATAATGCTATTCAAAACCTGGCAATCTTTATACACTTGTAAGCACTGACTCATTCTTCATAATAATTGAATGACATGTAAAAATATAAATAATTCACTTTTTATCCCTTCCTCAACTCTCTTTTGAGGCAACACAAAAACTTAGCAATCTTTACAATATTATGTTTTTAATGACAACATCTTTTCCTGATGCCAAAATTGACATCATTTAATTATTAACCTTTACTGAAGGTGTTAAGCAGCAAAAGTATTTTACATTCAAGCATGTCAAAATTATTTACACTTTGCTTATAAATGTAAAGGTTGTATCTTGAATTAGATACAGGTGAAGGAGAAAAGTGCATTTATGTACATGTGTCTTTATTATTTATGACTGGAACTAGCACTCTGTAAGGGAGTCTTTTTAGTTATTTATGCTATAAAAACAAGCCTCAAAAGGAAGAGTTAATAATAGTCAAGGGTTGTTTGAGGGTAACTATTATTGAAAGAAAAACAGCTGAAAAAGTCTATCCATTTTGTCTACAATCCCACCTATCTTGAGAAAACATTGCTTCTTCCCGCCCACCCCTGTGGAGAAAAACAGGACAGACTTCTGTCATCCTGACTTCTGCATGTTAATTATTATTAATTGAATAATAATTATTATTACATCTGGCCTCTCACCAACTACCCTTCAAAGCCATCTTATGCCTCATTCACACCAACTAAACTACAGTTGGGTTTTAAAAAATTGGAAATAGTAACAGAAACTAGAACACAGGCTTTTAAACAGAATTCAATAGAACTTCAATACCTCACATGATTGCACTAAATTTGCAATTGAAAAAAGTACAGTAGGCAGCAGTGTTTAACCAAACAGCTTTTGAACATGTTTAAGCTTTGATGTGAATATTGGGGGTTTACATGTAACACTAACTGCCTGATGCCTATCTATTTTCACAAGTCAGGAAGGAGTGAAGACTGACCTTTCCCCTTTTAGCCCAATCTTCAGGTGTCCAGCGACACCCTAATACCCATCTATTTTCAAAAGCCAGTGAAGAGTGAAGACTCACATTCCCCCTCTATATATTACCACTTTCCCCTTTTTGCCCAGTCTTTAGGTGTCCAGTGAAGGCACGTTGAATCAATGCGAATCTTTCTCTTTGACATGGATCTTAGCTGCCCATCTAAAATTTCTTTTGAAAGATTTAATATGTACTGTCCTTTGTAGTAGTGGATGATTCCAAGATGCTGCAGAGTCGAAACAACATCTTCTTTTCTTATACTTGTGGTCTCACAAATATCACTGTCAAACAAAATGTTAACCCAAGTCAATTCCCTTAAGTTTAATTGAGGTAAATTCCATCAAACAGTATCAAGTTTAATTACTATGTGAGGACAACCTACAATAACACTCCTGTGAAAAATGTTATAATCAGGAGGTTTAAAACAACATGTCCAAAATGAGTTACCTGTGCAAAACTCTATCCCTACTGAATTCGCGGTTTTCTAATTTAAATGCTTACACTGAAAGCTAAATGGGTTTAGAAAGGAAAATATGCATTGTTGAAAAAGTAACAAAAATGGCCAAAGCAGTGGTCAAAGGATTAAATTCACTGCCTTTTTTTCATTTTAAAAATTAAACTCCTAGTTTTTATTGATACCCAAAGCGCACATCACAAAGCTAAGAACCCAAGAACAAGGCTAACAATACTGATGTATGGAAACACAGCCTCACTAACCTATTTAACCATGTTATAAAGGAGTCATAAGGTGGGGTTTCATTGGGTGACACTTCTTATATGACGTATAAAAAACTTCTATAAACTCCATGATTCTTACTTGATGGTTATAGCAGGGGGGCTTCCATCCTCTCCACCCTTGAGAGAAACAAGAATTTCCAGGATGGTCTGAGACCAATAACTGCGATAAGATAGTAATCCTAAGTCTGACAGGGGCTTCTCAGGTGTTCCTGTCTTCCCCTCAAACTTGGAAAGCTCATAACCTGGGAATAAAACAGTAATTACATTAATTATCAGGGCTGTGCTCTAGCAGAGCCTTGTGGCTCCTGGTGCCAAACTTTTGCTCTGGGCAACTAGAAAATCTTATTATTTTTTTTTTCATACAAATCATATGCTGGGCACCCTAGATTTTACAGGTTCAGAGCACTGGGCATCCTTCAATTTTCCTTAGAGCAAAGCCTTGATTATTCAATTAATGTTTAACAATTAATTATTAAACAAATGTTTACAAAAACTGCAAAATTGCCCTCACAGAAGTGGAAATGTTTAATGTGTTGTGTCTTCCTTATTGACAACTTTGCTTTGTGGTGAGTTGATGTACCCTGCCGCAAAATATGAGGAGTTATTAATTGTGATATGAGTAGCCACAAAAATCGTGTGTGTTGCTCCAATGGTCCCTTGGCACAAGTTAAAAAGAAAAAACAGATCTTTGCTTTCTGGGAGCCCAATACAGCAAATAAAAACACTTCTCCAGTAAGATCTTAAATCCTCACATAAAGGTGTCAAGTCCTGTTATCATTAAATCCTCTAATATAGCTTGTATAAGGTTTTTGCTTCATAATTAAAGTTAAATGACATCAAAAGTAAATATGGCTATAGTACAACACATCTGTAAAACTCACTAAATTCTATGAGCAGCTTGCCATAACCCTTCCTTTGGTACTGAGGTAAAGTTAGAATGCATGCCACATTGTAATCTTCAGATGATTCTTTTTCCTGCCAAGGAAGAAGTAACATTGCTTCAGTGAAAAGACTCACGTTAATGCTGTCCTCAGTACTCAGCCCCACCTATAAATTCAATCTCTCACTCTCTATGACCTTCAGGGCCAGGTTGTTTAAAGGCTAATTATCATAAACCTGAGGCTTAATTTTTAACACAGGTTCCTGCTTATTTAGTTCAAAAGAATTTTTTCTGTTAAATTTACCTTTAAGTCCCAATGGTGACCAACATAAATTTTCTCTTAATGATATTATGCATACATCATCAAGAGAAAGGTCACGAGAGTTTAATAAAATGATAACCAAAAAGAAAATGCCTTGATCTTCTATCAAATTCTCTCAAGACANAGTCAATAATAAAATACAGCAAAGGTCTCATTTGGGTCGTCACGCAACGCTTTGTCGCGACGAGCTCACTGAATGTCAACAGAAATTTGCATAAAGTTGTTTACACAAAACTCGAGAAATATATCGCCGAGTTAGACGACGTTTGTTCTTGATTAGCGTAAGTTTTTGTCAGACTATCTGCAGTCGAGTCCACAATCTAGATACATGTTCGACATAAATAAATTATTATTAATCGATGCGCTAGAATTTATTCCCGGAGAAGTAACCTGTTGAGAATTGCGATCGATTTGCCCGAAAGACAATATTTATTTCAAGACTTCGTCAAAGTCAAAGGTTGGACGGACCGACCGTTAGCTGTTTAGAATCAACCGTTAGGTAGTAAGAGCAATCCGTTAGAGCGTGTGGACAAATCGTTAGAGCGGAGATGATAGCGAACTCCCAGCAAAGAAGACGATCGACGTTTGAGACAAACATCTTGTAGTTTTTTTTCTCGAAAGGGCATCTACTTCTAATTTTTGTTGTGCTACAAATCAAAATAATCCACATATACTTAAGTATGTCTCGTATGATCGATCGCGTCTTTTACAACCCTGTGGAAAATTTTTCTCGTGGGCACCCCCTGTACCCCTCGGAAAATTCTACCCTTTAGCCCCCCCACCCCCTAGGAATTTCCATTAACCATCCGTGGGGGGGGTATGGATATTTTCTGGAACCACACAATGGTGACCAACATAAATTTTCTCTTAATGATATTATGCATACATCATCAAGAGAAAGGTCACGAGAGTTTAATAAAATGATAACCAAAAAGAAAATGCCTTGATCTTCTATCAAATTCTCTCAAGACATTCTTTAAGGAAATGTATAGAGATCAGTTTGGAAAAATTTGTACGTGGATATTGCGACTCAAAGGAATAAACATGCAAGCAAGGCTGTGCTCCAGTACAGTAGCACCTAGTGGCCCCTGGCACCTAAGTTTTGCTCCTGTGCATCTAGAAAATCTTAGTTTTTTTCATAGAAATCATTTTGCTAGGCAATCTGAATTAGACAGGTTCAGAGCACAAGGGCTCCCTTCAGTTCTTCTCAGAGCACAGCCTTAATTGATGCAAGCATTGTAGGCAAACCAATTTGCAGGAATTTTCTTTGCAAAAGGAATGACAAATTTTGTGCTAACCTTGAGTTACCTTAACTACCTAGCACAGGGAAATGCACTAATACACATGATTGTATGTGTAACAGGTCAAAATTAAAATCAGGTAAAAAAAGTTTTTCACCTAGCTAAGTTGATTCTCTATTTCCTATGTCTCCTATCCCTAATAATATTATTCATGGATTTGGGCTAGGAGACCAAAAAAACTGAGAATCAACCGAGGTTAAACAATTTTAAACTGAATTTAATTTTGACCTGAGGTACATATATATATTCATATACAGGTCAAAATTATAATCAGGTTAAAATTTTTTAACCTAGTAGGTTGATTCTCAATTTCCTTCGTCTCCTTTCCCTAATAATATTATTCATGAAATTAGGGCTAGGAGACAAACAAATTGAAAATCAACCTAGGTTAATAAACTGAATTTAATTTTGACCTGTCGTTCATAATACATAAGGGATGAAGGGGAGACTCCATTTAACATTAAACACTGTGAGTCGTTGGTCAGACTCGCCAAGTCCCACCACTTTGTCATGAGTCTGACGATTTCACAACCTATTTCATGCTCTCACGAGTTTAGAACTGATTTCTCACACTTTCTCAAAAAGTCAAACTCCAAAAAGGTTTGGAGTTGTAGGACTGTTTCCAAGTCAGATATCAAGATAGCCAGCTCAATCCAAAGACAACATTTAGCAGTTGCATTTGATTGCATTCTTCTAGCCTACTGCCACTTGTCGCTGCCACCCAATGTAAAGCTGTTTCTCTCAAGATGGCCGCCAACAAAACACAGAAATTACAAATTTTTAAACCTAACTCATAAAATTAATCATGATGTCTACTGCTTCAGCTTTAAAGTGATACGTGACTTCCAATACCCATAATCTCCCCTGAAAGTCCTTCCAATAGGAAATTTGGGACATCTCACGACTTTTTACCCATTTCTCACTACTTTTCCCAGCTCTAGGTTCAGAGTCTCACTTTTTTTTTGCCTTTTGGGGTTTGGCAAGTCTGTTGTTGGTGGTGTTGGGCCTTTTTTTATATCTTGAGACAGTCTTACCTTTGAGAAGTATCCTACAATGTGAAATCCGATTGAATCATATTCAGTCATGACATAAAACAGAAAGGGATCAGTGTCATAGTACAGTGTCTTGTGATCCAGGAACATTTTGGCCAGAAGACACAGGTTCTGGGCATATGCCTGGAACACAAAAATAAAATTTAATTGAAATCACTTTTTAAAACTGTGCATACATCTTTGAAAAATCAGACCACGCAGTTTAATTTTTTGATGCAATCCCTACAGCATTGGCCATGTTCACTGTAGTGGGGTTCATGCTAGATTACTATCTTGGTTATCCTGTGGCCAGATCTGGATCCCTGTTACCTACAACCCTGATAACTAATACTATTACTTTTGTTTTAGATTCAAAGAATTTACATCCTAAGTGCCACATTATGATGGTTTGCCCTTTTATTCTATTCACAAATATACTATTTTTTTTAATTGTTTTTTTCTGTTAGACTTGAACATAACCTTAATATTATGAAAATCAGTTGACTATTAATAGCAGAGACTAGGAAAATAATTATGGAATTCTCTCTCACCTTGTTTTTCCGACCATCAATTTCAAAGAATGATATTGTTCCTTTTCTGTATATTTCATTTCCTGGAGGATGGCGTAACTTGCACTTTTCCTGTAACAATAACCAATCCAAAATACAGTACCTCTAGATCTTTCTTAACTGATGCCTCTATAAGACCAACACAACTCTCCTCCTAATCATCAATTATTGGGTGCATGGGAAATTAAAGAAAACCTTCACATTTTGGTGGGCCATAGAGTACAATATGGGTCTCAAAATTGACCAACAACAGCACATGTTCTTACTACGAGATTTAAAGTGTATTCCATTGGGATAATCCAAATCAGGATCAGTGACCTAAGATTGTTTGGATCATGTTGCATCAAAGAAACCAACTAATCGACATTAATTGTTAAAGGATTAGTTGGCTCATTTGAGGATCACTGATCCTGAACCCGATTAACCCAAAAGAACTCACCCTTAGTTTATAATTAAGATAATTTAAAGCAGGGCTGTGCTCTAGCAGAGCCCGGTGGCCCCTGGCGCCTAACTTTTGCCCTCAGGCGACTAGAAAATCTCAGATTTTTCATACAAATCATATGCTGGGCATCCTAGATTTTACAGTTTCAGGGCACTGGGCTCCCTTCAATTTTCCTTAGAGCACAGCCTTGTTAAAGGTATACTACCTTGTGTCGCTTGAGGCAATGGAAACTCTTGACATATTTAAGGCAAAATTCACACAAGTAAACAACAGGTTCCAGAGTAAGCTCTTGGGGATACGGTGAGAAATACCATGGTTTAATTCTGTATTTTCCAAGCTGGACCATCTTGATATTTTTTATTCGTGTTACAATGTCGTCATGACTGCGGTCATGGACCATACTGCCTGTCTGCCTCATGCNACTAGAAAATCTCAGATTTTTCATACAAATCATATGCTGGGCATCCTAGATTTTACAGTTTCAGGGCACTGGGCTCCCTTCAATTTTCCTTAGAGCACAGCCTTGTTAAAGGTATACTACCTTGTGTCGCTTGAGGCAATGGAAACTCTTGACATATTTAAGGCAAAATTCACACAAGTAAACAACAGGTTCCAGAGTAAGCTCTTGGGGATACGGTGAGAAATACCATGGTTTAATTCTGTATTTTCCAAGCTGGACCATCTTGATATTTTTTATTCGTGTTACAATGTCGTCATGACTGCGGTCATGGACCATACTGCCTGTCTGCCTCATGCTTCCTGTTTTAGGAGGAGTACTAGGTAGCTCTTTGGGGCTGTCTTGGGAATCAATCTAATGAGCAATAATGTAAAACAAACCTTTATTTTAGCATTAACTGAAAGCTTTCAGTTCTCAATTTACTGCAACCAAAGTCATTCTTCAAAAACTCTTTTAATTGACCTAAGATTGGTGGTCCTATCTGGCACCCCCAGGAATTGACCATGAAATCTATTCCATGGAAAAACTGAATTTCATTTTGCAAGATTGTAGTTGAACATAACTTAGGCCTTACTTAAACCTGAGCCTTATGATGACCAGTAGTCTCTCAGGTTTATCAAGGACTGGTTATGTGTTGTTTTCAGTAGCTCCAGTAACTGTACCACTCTCATGTAGATACCACATCACTTTGTTAATTTGGCGTACACATAGGCTGCTTTATGCCCAGTATCCCAGACCCAGAGCTAAGGGCAGGGGGGAGCAACGATGGTGCTTGCACTTTCCCAAACCACCACAGATTTCTTTGCAAAATGGATATTTCTGATAATAGTGTAAAGATTAATCCATGTACCTCATCAGGAACCTTGTCCATAGCATTTGCTTTCCTCTTTCTGCCAACAATGGCTTTAGGTCGTCCAGATCCCACACCATTTACAAGCTCCCTGTCAGGTGAGCATGGCCTTGAACCAGCACCTTTACCCTTGTTGGTCTTTTTGGTGTCTTCTTTTTTTGGCAACTGAAGCCTTGACAGGTCTAGCCTGCTTTCCTCGACCCACTCATCAAGACGCTTGTTAACTATAGACGTACATATTTAAACATCTATTATTCTGGGCACAGGCGACCAAAGCTTGGTGCATAAATTACAGCAAGTTTCAAAGCTGTTTTGCATATTACGAACGATTTAAAGACTTTGTGTGAGAAATTCAATATCGTTGTTAAAATGTCAGAAATATAGGCATAAATATAGAAATAAATTATTTATTGTACTTACGTAAACTTGGGCCTGTTGTTACTTTTTCTGTGTAACCTGGGCTCAATTTATCGCCATTAATTTTAATTTGGTTCTGGGCAATCTGACGTGCGCTCAGGCACCTCGATGACTACGTGTTGCATGATGAATGCGAACATTTTATATACGCTCATCCAATTGGATAATTCCAAACACACTGCTCACGGGCAATCAGTAGACTATCTGAGGGTAGGAAGATCCCTGTTTTGTCATGCAATATTGATTACCCAGATCCCGAGTCCATGTTCGCATTCTCTGAGTTACACATAGTCATCAAGGTTCCAGAGGGCACGTCAGATTGCCCAGTGCCAAAAACTTTCAAAACATTTTCCCACAAAAAAGCACATTATTGGAACACCCATGACGAGGAGAAGAGATAAGAGACTGACCTGGCCTTAAGGATTTGGTGTTTTCATGGTGAATCGGTCTGCGGTTCTTTGATGTGGGAGAGATTTGCGAGTTGAGACTGCACACAGTCACCTGCCTTGCTTCGCTTTATGTAGGAAAACAACACTGAACAAACAACGAGCCGCAAAACTGCATAAAATAACGATGAATAATTGAGCCCAGGTTACACAGAAAAAGCAACTTACAACAGGCCCAAGTTTACGTAATTTCTATATTTGTGTCTGTATTTCTACATTTTAACAACTATATTGAATTTCTCATACAAAGTCTTTAAATCGTTCATAATATGCAAAACAGTATCGAAACTCGCAGTAATTTATGTACCAAGCTTGGGCTGCCTGTGTCCTGAGCAAAGTGCATCTCGCTGGTATGTTATACATACCAAAAATGGCACAGAGCTATTTTAACCCATTCGCTCCTGGAGATTTTGCCGAAAAACGCATTTTGAAGCTAGTCGAGTGGTTTTCTGGTCACTGTCGTGCTATAAAGAGCTAAAACTTACCACAAACCGGTCTACAGGTCGTACACTTGGCGGCCTTCTGTTAAACAACAGGTTCCAGAGTAAGCTCTTGGGGATACGGTGAGAAATACCATGGTTTAATTCTGTATTTTCCAAGCTGGACCATCTTGATATTTTTTATTCGTGTTACAATGTCGTCATGACTGCGGTCATGAACCATACTGCCTGTCTGCCGCATGCTTCCTGTTTTAGGAGGAGTACTGGGAAGCTCTTTGGGACTGTCTTGGGAATCAATCTAATGAGCAATAATGTAAAACAAAACTTTATTTTAGCATTAACTGAAAGCTTTCAGTTCTCAATTTACTGCAACCAAAGTCACTCTTCAAAAACTCTTTTAATTGACCAGAGATTGACGGTCCTATCTGGCACCCATGAAATCTATTCCTTGGAAAAACTAAATTTCATTTTGCAAGATTGTAGTTGAACATAACTTAGGCCTTACTTAAACCTAAGCCTTATAATGACCAGTAGTCTCTCAGGTTTATCAAGGAGTGGTTATATGTTGTTTTCAGTAGCTCCAGTAACTGTACCACTCTCTTGGTGATACTATACCACTTCATCAATTTGGTTTACACATAGGCTGCTTTATGCCCACTATCCCAGACCCAGAGCTAAGGGCCGGGGGGAGCAATGATGGTGCTTGCACTCTCCCCACCACAGGCTCCAGAGGTCCACTTTTTTGTTGAAACCAACAATTTAAAACAAAATTAATAAAAATTAATAAGAAATGGTATTGCTCTGATTGTGTTGTAAAGTTAACAAAAAACGTGTATACCATGTACCTGACAAGGGGGCTTGAGCTTGGCACACTAACTAGCAGTTATAATGATCAGCAGTAAAACTGGTGAATAGTACGCATTCAAAACTTCATTTTTTCTTTTAAAAATAGCGACTTTGACTTGTTATTCTCTACAACTGCTCCACACATACATAAGAAATCTTTTTCAAAAATTTGAGAAATATCCACGTTTTAGGTTCACTTTTCATATCTTAATAACCCCTTCAGAATGCAGGCTCAGACAACCTAATTCTTCCTCAAAAAAACTTGCACCTATGGCCTAATTTGGTCTATCTCCTTGTTGGATTCACCACCTCTGCCCTGAAAAAATCTGGCCATGGGCCTGCTTCCCCTTTGATAAGATGGGTAGGGGGTTGGGATGAATACAAGACTTCAATCAAGACTTTGATTTCTCGTGTGTTACTTTGACCTATGGTTGGTGCTGTCAGTGTTTTCATTATTACCCTACACACTCAGCTTCTATGTCTAATTGCATTTGAGAATTAAAGATGTTTTGACACACCCACAGAAAGATTTCTTTGCAAAATTGATATTTCTCATAATACTGTAAAGATTAATCCATGTACCTCATCAGGGGCCTTGTCCATAGCATTTGCTTTTCTCTTTCTGCCAACAATGGCTTTAGGTCGTCCAGATCCCACACCATTTACAAGCTCCCTGTCAGGTGAGCATGGCCTTGAACCAGCACCTTTACCCTTGTTAGTCTTTTTGGTGTCTTCTTTTTTTGGCAACTGAAGCCTTGACAGGTCTAGTCTGCTTTCCTCGACCCACTCATCAAGACGCTTGTTAACTATAGACGTACATATTTAAACATCTATTATTATTCATTCAAAATATTTCCCCGATTCTGATTGGCTAAAAGCACACACATAATTCACCATAACCAGTTGCTGATGACCAAATTTGGAAGAATTTTGTGTTTAGCGAGGAAATGATGTCAAAAATGCAGCGTTTTTGCAGGTTAATGCACTGTTAACCGAAAAGACCTGGGGACGAGGTTGAGTTATTTTGGTTGTGGAAACAAAAATGGCGGACACTTCACTCGTTTCGAGAGTAAGAACTAAGCGAAATAACAGCTAAAAACATGGAAAGAACAGCAAGACAACTCGAAGGGCGACATCTACTATTTTTACTACCTAATGTGCTCTATCGAAGATGAACTTAACATTGATGGATCTTAAGGAGGTAAACATGTTTTAGCTATGTTTTTAAACTAGGAATTATTTTGAATGAATAATAAAACAATTATTGAATTCGGCTTTCGTATCATATGAAGAATTATGGAGATCTCGGAAGGTGTTATCCGCCTCGGCCTGCAGCGTCAACGGATAACACCCTCCTCGATCTCCGTAATTCTTCATAAGATACTCAGCTTAATTCATTAATTGTTAATTATTCTGGGCACAGGCGACCAAAGCTTGGTGCATAAATTACGGCAAGTTTCGATGCTGTTTTGCATATTATGAACGATTTAAAGACTTTGTATGAGAAATTCAATATAGTTGTTAAAACGTCAGAAATATACGCATAAATATAGAAATAAATTATTTATTGTACTTATGTAAACTTGGGCCAGTTGTTACTTTTTCTGTGTAACCTGGGCTCAATTCATCGCCATTTTATTTGGCTCTGGGCAATCTGACGTGCACTCAGGCACCTCGATGACTACGTGTTGCATGATGAATGCAAACATTTTATATACGCTCATCTAATTGGATAATTCCAAACACTGCTCACAGGCAATCAGTAGACTATCTGAGGGTAGGAAGATCCCTGTTTTGTCATGCAATATTGATTACCCGGATCCCAAGTCCATGTTTGCATTCTCTGTGTTACACATAGTCATCAAGGTTCCAGAGGGCCATCAGATTGCCCAGTACCAAAAACTTCCAAAAAATTTTCCCACAAAAAAGCACATTATTGCAACACCCATGACCAGGGGAAGAGATAAGAGACTGACCTGGCCTTAAGGATTTGGCGCTTTCATGGTGAATCAGTCTGCGGTTCTTTGATGTGGGAGAGATTTGTGAGTTGAGACTGCACACAGTCACCTGCCTTGCTTCGCTTTATGTAGGAAAACAACACTGAACAAACAACGAGCCGCAAAACCGTATAAAATGGCGATGAATAATTGAGCCCAGGTTACACAGAAAAAGCAACTTACAACAGGCCCAAGTTTACGTAATTTCTATATTTGTGCCTGTATTTCTACATTTTAACAACTATATTGAATTTTTCGTACAAAGTCCTTAAATCGTTCATAATATGCAAACAGTATCGAAACTCGCAGCAATTTATGTACCAAGCTTGGGCTGCCTGTGTTCTGAGCAAAGTGCATCTCGCTGGTATGTTATACATATCAAAAATGGCACAGAGCTATTTTAACCTATTGAGCAATTTTAATGTTAACATCGAACGTTTCCTCATTAACTCCAGTATGCTACTGTAATATAATAATGTGATACCAATCAGGTCAAATGTTACAAATATGCCAACATATTTATCGCGCGTCTTGTGTCACTGCAAATTTGTGATGATCTGAGTCAACAAGTGTTTTTTGCACAAATGACATCATGTGCTGTACATTATGACATCATCTATCATCCCTTCCCTATCAATTCTCAATATTTGAAGATATGGGAGTTGACAACCCTGTTAACCCTTTACGTCCCAATAGTGGCCAACATTAATTTTCTCCTAACAATATCCATACATTGTCAAGAGATTAAGTTATGAGAATTAATAAAATGATCACCTAAGAGAAAATGCTTTGATCTTTTATCAAATTCTCTCAACTCATTCTTTAAGGAAATATATAGAGATCAGTTTGGAGAATTTGTATGTCGATATTGGGACTTAAAGGGTTAATATCTTGTGCATATAATCAGGGTCTGCATTCCCGCTACTTTTTTTCCAACAATCCTGCATCCTCAACCAAAATTTTGGCAGATCCCACTTTCTGGGTAGCAATTAANTATGGGAGTTGACAACCCTGTTAACCCTTTACGTCCCAATAGTGGCCAACATTAATTTTCTCCTAACAATATCCATACATTGTCAAGAGATTAAGTTATGAGAATTAATAAAATGATCACCTAAGAGAAAATGCTTTGATCTTTTATCAAATTCTCTCAACTCATTCTTTAAGGAAATATATAGAGATCAGTTTGGAGAATTTGTATGTCGATATTGGGACTTAAAGGGTTAATATCTTGTGCATATAATCAGGGTCTGCATTCCCGCTACTTTTTTTCCAACAATCCTGCATCCTCAACCAAAATTTTGGCAGATCCCACTTTCTGGGTAGCAATTAAATCCTGTATCCCGTCAAAGAAATTATGTGTATTCCCAAATCCCGTGCTGTATTTTGGTTAAATCCTGGATGCCAAGAATACCCTTCCAGACACTGTATAATCTCAGAAGATTTCCCCTTCAGTCTAAAATCTTTGCCAAACAGAAACATTATGTTCCCTTTGCTAACAGCAATGCTCAAAGGCGACCTTTTCTGGGTGGAATTTAGAAAGAGATGCATTATGGGACTGAAATCTATGCGTCCGCCATCTTGAAAATCCGCCTGAACTAAATTTTTAGAAAAAAAAATATAGAGTTGGAATAAAATGCTCTGTACAGGTGAAATACCTAAAAAATAATAGAAGCGAAATAAAGTTTGGCCAATATATTTTTCTAATGAGTTTAAAATAAAACTTGGTTGTTAAGATACTCGATGACGACGAAAATATCCACGAAAGCAAGCGAGTATTTAGCTTGAGCATAAATAGAGAAAAGTCAGAAAACACAGTACTCACAGTCAATGTAATGCACATAATAATGGGTTGAACCATCGGCAAGCTCCTTTTTACTCAGTATCTCAGCTAAAGCTGAAGGAAAAAGAACATTTTTCAAACTAAGAACAACGTTTCAGGGAAAAGGTGAACGTCCGCTTTCACTTTCATGAACTGTCTCACTTACGCCATTCGTCAGATCCACTCATTTTTACAGGCATTCTGCAGCCCTCTACTGCCTCCATCTATAAGGAAAAATATTCAAGAATCATAAGCAAGGAATTATAGGTCATCCATTATGTTTTTACGACGTGAAAGTTCGATTTATCTACCGAGGTTTCTCCGTTTATCTCCGCCATCTTTTATTCTTTATTTGTCGCCATTGCTATGCGCCGAAAACGTCTTACGAACTTTTCCGTTCAAGCATCGAGCCAACGAAGATTACCGAGCTTATATCGACTGGTAAAAAAAAACCCAATTATGTAGAACCCAGTCTTCCACGAGATCGGGATCGGAGTTCGGAGCAAGGAAATTACCGTATTTTTTTTTTTTCATTGCCCAAATATTTTTTCAATAAAGATAAATAAAGCAGAAGAACAAAAATATTACCAGATTACAAAACGGTAGTTTAGCTTAAGGAAAAATTCTTTAAATCAACTCTTACTTGGCGCAACACTCTGTTGATGGCTTTATTCACTCCTCACCCGAACAGTTATCGCAATCACTAATGACATTTTCCTAAATCTCTGTCTCTTTTCCCTTGAAAGGTTTTCATCATTTTTTTTACACAAAATTATATTGTTTCTGGGAACGCTTTTATTGCGTGACCGACTAAGGGGCGTCACGCTTATTCTAAAAACTGAAGCTGTTTCACAACTATCTCGATATCTACATCCGACAAAATCGTCAATTTATAGATTTATTTTTTCAAGAATTTTCTTGTTTCTTTCCTTTTTTATTAAAATCGCAAACTTCGCGAATATTCCAATAGCCATTATTAATAGCATTGCACTGAAAAGGTGCAAGTTCATACTTGTTCATAGTTCGCATAATTATGTTAATGCCAGAGGAAGTGACATCATATGCTAATCCTGTTCTATTATTGCGCGATATACATTTAAATGCCCGTGAGACTATTATTAGNTCTTTCCTTTTTTATTAAAATCGCAAACTTCGCGAATATTCCAATAGCCATTATTAATAGCATTGCATTGAAAAGGTGCAAGTTCATACTTGTTCATAGTTCGCATAATTATGTTAATGCCAGAGGAAGTGACATCATATGCTAATCCTGTTCTATTATTGCGCGATATACATTTAAATGCCCGTGAGACTATTATTAGTCACGATCTTGCTCTGTCAGGAGGAATCAACTGCAAATGACTTGCTATTATGTTAAAAACAGGCAATTCAGTCATGCCGACACATGAGAAGTAAAATTTGCCCATCCCTTGAGGGCGACTTAAACCGGCTGATTTTCAGTAAGCGAGGAGCTACAAGTTGTCAATGAGTGCGATAAAAGAATCAGACTTCTGCTGGAAGAGATGTAGAGTATGGAAACCGAAATACAAAGCTCCAAGTCTCTTGAAGCTTTGCAGAGACGTGGTAATCAGAAACATGGGGTTGCGCCGAGTTTGGAAAGCGCGCAAAGAGCTACCTTTGCCGCGAAATTTAATTAAATTATTAACTTCGAATTTCAGCTTTAGAGAATTTGAACTACAGGGCATTGATTTATCCAGAGACATGCGAATTCACTGCATATATCCCACCAGGAGTTTACTGGATAATTCTAAGGTCTTGTTGAAGTGCATAAACATCAAGTCTTGTGAATCTGCGAGTTTGTCTCATCTATTACAGAGATGGACCGACGTGAGTCACAAAAATATAATGCGGGTTTTACTGTGGTTTAAAGAAGGGGACTCCGTGGGAGTTGTTCTGGAACCGTTTCCAAAAAGTCTTCACGAGTTGGTGCACGATTATCGGAAAACTGGCATTAAATTGCCGGAGTGGCTTTTATGGAAAATGCTTCATCAAATCTGCGACGTCTTGTTGTATTTACAGAGAAAACAGATTGTGCACCCTGAAATTTCAAGTAAAACATTGTCTCTCACACGCACGGGGGACATCCTACTGCATAATCTTTTAATTTATACACCCAGTGAAACGGAGCTTAACGTATGCGTTGATGCCAAAGATTCTTTTTACGGTATTTACGTTGCCCCGGAAAGAATCAAAGGACAGAGATATTCACCAAAACAAGACTCTTGGTCGCTTGGATGCGTTGCTTACGAATTAGTTTACTTAGGACCAGCTTTTCACCTTGGCCCCGGGGAAAATATTTTCAAAGTCTTGAACAACATTGTGAATGGTGTTGCTCCTCCGCGACTTGCCGAAGCCGACTATTATAGCCCTGACGCTGTGAATTTGATTTTGTCATGTTTAATGCCAGACCCAAGGCTGCGACCCACGATTGAAGACTTGTTTTACTTAACCAGTTCACTGATGCGTTCGACAAAGCTGTGTTAGCCCTTTGCGGTAAAAGCGATAAATTCCTTATTGCATTCTTATGACTCCAGGGATTACTTAGCTGTTCAGTTTACAGCTGTGGTTGTTTCAGCTTCGTCTTAGCGGAAATTTCTATCGTCATAGTTTATTTGAGGTGCGGTTTGCGGTGCAAGCTTTAACAGGTGCAAAACGGGTGGTTTCCTGCCGTTATGTCAGCTTCACAACCTCGTTATGAGGAAGAAAAACACCGAACCGAGGTTGGAACAACGTCCAGCCGAAGTAATTTTTTTGGTACATATACTCTCTTCGACACGTTTCGTTTCGGTCAGTGTCGTGAATAGGTTTATTGCAATTGGAGACACGTTGAATTAAATGAGCAACGAAATTATTGCAATATAAGAACTGTTTCAAGCTGAGATATTTTTCTATTTTTCTATATCTTTTTCCAGCTGTGTAGGACATGACACAAGTAGATCTAAATATATGTTATTATTATTAACCAGATTTGCCAAAAGGGAATAGTTTGATACATTTTTTAAAAAACAATTCAAAAACATCGAAAAATACGCGCATTTTCTATTCTATGGGTTCACGCTGGCGTGAACAATCTCGTTATAAAGTGTAGTAAGCGATTGTTAGCCTGCGAGCGGGGACCACAGTTTTCGCGCTAAGAACCTTTCACATGCCAGAACAAGTATCGCGAGAAAGTAACCTTTGCTCGCATGTTCTGGCCAGGATTGTCAAACGCAAAAAAAAGTCGGTTCTTGCACGAATTAACATCGTGTTTCGAATGCAGCAACAGCCTCTCTGTCAGTGCTCCTCTCTCCTGGATAACGCTTGTGGAAAAAGCGTTCCACTCACATGTTCAGGATGGCCCTGCCTTTCAGTAACAGGTACAACGGTTTACAATCATCAGGAGAAAGCAGGGCCGGCTGCGCTCACCTGCAACTTATTTGTATATTAGAAATTTATTTTAATAGCCAAGAGCCAATTTCTTACAATTCTGTAAATATCTAAAACATTTGTCATATCCGTAGGAATTTGTATAAAGTGAATAAAAACCAAATTTATGATCGAGTTGTTATGGCACGCTTTACGCTGCACAGCAGGCGTTAATAGAACTTAAATAAAGACAATATATTAGGCCTACTCCTGATCATTGTCACAGGTAGTCACATGACCAGCCGAAACCAGCACTTATGTCCAGAAATGCATGCAATGGCGAAAATCGCCAGACAGCTGGCGATTCAAATGATTTGGATTTCGCCTTTTCTGTCATTTTTGCTAAATACGCCATGCCACTCGCCAAATGTTTGCCATTTTCGCCAGTGCGTGCATTTCTGGACATACCTTGATACCAGAGTTCTTTCTCGAAGCAAGAGAGAGAATCCTGGGAAAGAGGTTGTGAGGACGACGTATGGTGACGGCTATCACATTTTCCCGCCAAAATGATGCTGGTTCACGCCTGCGCACTACTTAGTATTGAGAAAATCTCCTGCTTGTAGTCGTCCTCTTCTTAGGGGTCTCTTCTTGGGAGCAAGACACAAAGGCCTGGAAGGCCTGGAAGCAAGTAACGACCTGATTCGCTATCTCAATGGCCTTTCCGTTGCCAAACTATAAAACTAAATTTCACTTCCTCACCGATCCAACACCATAGTTTCCTCAGAAACAAACCTTTTCATTCATTAATTTTTGCTCTGTTTTTCCTTATTCTATCTGTACAGTCTTCCGAGTTCCAAATCTGAGAACGAATATGGTTTAAAGTGTCAGAGTTTTATACATTCCACTTATCATGCGTAAGTTTTCTTTCTTCAAGATTATAAATGTCACCGCCGCTTGGCGTTTCAGTTCACTTTAAAGTCACCCAGACGATATTGACATCATCGGCACAATCGCTCATTGTTGACGCAGATCATCGACTGCCAGTGTGCAGATATGACATAGTTTATATTGTTTCCTGGAATCTTTGTACGTTCATTCTCTTCAAAATCTCTCTGCTGTTCTACTCGCCACAGCTCTCATATTTCCATAAACTTTTGACGGTGGGCTTCCTGTAACACAAACATAACAATTCACACTATGAGCACAGGCTAACCAGGATATTTTACTCCCATGCAGCGATTTGTTCTTCTAATAAAAGTCCTTCTTTGAAGTATAATAAAATGGGCGCATTCTGTCAGAGTATTCCCCAGGGTGAAAAGACGAACACTAAATACTTACAAAGCAATATTTACACATCAACATACCTAAAATGAGGCTACAAATTGCTGTTCTGGCAATTTTGATGTTCTGAAAGGATCCCAAGATATGGATTTTTCTGTAAAATTGAGATAAGCAAACCATGAGATTACCGTAAATTTATGAAAGGATCGGACCCTCGAAAGTAGAAAACCTCCAAAAGTATTGATAAAATGTCACAGGTGTTAGCAAAGTGGCGATCTTCCCGAAAATAACGACCCTCTGAAAGTACAGACTTCAAAACTAATTTTCCTTTTTGCAAAAAAAATAAAGGATATGATAGATATCCTGAACAAATGCCACAATGATCCGAGGCTTATTAACCCATTCGCTCCTGGAGATTTTGCCGAAAAACGCGTTTTGAAGTTAGTCGAGTGGTTTTCTGGTCACTGTCGTGCTATAAAGAGCTAAAAACTTACCACAAACCGGTTTACAGGTCGTTCACTTCATGGCCTTCTGATCCAGATGCAAAATATCAGCTCGCGAAGTTCAGGCATGCGCAGAAAGCAAAATTTCGAGATTTTCGCTTTCTCTCCTCCCCTCTATTTTCGCTTTTCTTGCCTCATTTTTTTTTCTCTTGCTGGGCATTTAGTAGGCTTCATTTTGGTGGGAATAGTTTTCAGGAAAGCTTTTAGGATCTTAGGATTAGGTGAAAGGAAAGGTAGGTGGGCAATGGAACAAGATTTTCATGGAGATTTTCAGGTCAACGTTACATGGTTTTTTGCCTCTTTGTCCGGTGTCCTTGACTGAATTGTGCTCATTCTGGTAGGGTTTGAAAGATCTCTTCACTCTGCATAAGTTAGCGGACAAAGTTGTCCTTGACCGTTAAAACTGATGACGTCACAAAGGGTAGAAAGGACGTGGATCCGCACGGGCGGTTACGGGCGGTTCAGGGGCGAATGGGTTAATAGCGATCATTTGACATTACTGTTCATAACTCTTAAACAAAAGTACAGGATATGCAATAGCTTTTTTCACAAAGTATTCCTTTCACATTTTTTTCGATTTTATCTTATGAATTGCCCATGTGGAGTACGCATTTTAGCCATCCGAAAGTAGCAAGATAGCAGAAGGGTGCTAAATCCGAAAGTATCGAGGGTCGTTAGTTACTTTCGGAACTTTACGGTATTGCAATTACAAAAGAAATAAAAAATCTTATGAATGCTAAAATAAATAGTAAGAAAAAACTTTAATTGTTAAAACTCACGAGTCAGCAAGAATGATTCTGGTCTTTGATACATTTTCAATGGTAAATTTTGTCTTGCCTCCCTTTCCAGCAATACGCCCTATGGCACGTGAGAGGTGATCTCCTTTCAGTGGCTTAACTGTAGAAAACAACAAAAGAAAATACTTATTAAATCACCTTGTATTTTTGAACAGAGTAAAACCCAGCACTAAGACGTAGACATAGAAGACGTGGTTAATATTAAAAGAGGAGCACAGGAGTCGCAACTCGTTAAAACGCTCTGGAGACAAAAATGAACATTCGGTCGAAAAAATACAGAAGAAACATGATGTTTAAAGTGATAATTTAGAATGTTAAGAAACTGCCAGAATAATTATTTACAATTCACAAACAGTAGGTTTAAAACTTTTAAAACCACTGGTTGAACTTTCGTGGTTTCCCCTTAATGCAGATCAGGTTAAAGACTGCACAGATTCCTTTTTGCTGTGCTTTACTTGGTCAGTAGGGGAAGAATAAGAATTTACAATATAGTAGCAAGCATGGGAAAGAGCCTTTTAAGCCTCACGACTTTATGTTTAATCGTCACTTTAAAAAATTCTTGTGTTCATCAAAATCTGTGCCATTCACCCTGTTTCATGACTTGTTTCTATCTTACACTGTCCTTGCTTTACTATCTACCAAACATAACTTTGATTTTCCTGTTCCATGAATTTTCAGGTCTGACAATTAATAAATTCCATGACGTTCCAGGCCTGGAAAATGAAATTCATAAATTTCATAACCTTCCAGCTTTTCCATGACCTGTATGAACCCTGTAAAAATCAGTTCTGTTTTGGTTCTAAAAATAAAAAGGATGTATCTTACCATCAGCAATTTCAAAAGTTTCCAGAAACAAATCATCCAGTCTGACCAGAGCCAAGGCATCCTAAAGAAACGATTGGTAAAAATTCAATTATCTCTACAGCTTATTAAAGCATTACTTTCACAGCCCTTTTAACAAGAATGTGGTTTTCAGAATGCGTTATTGCTGTCAGCGAGTCTCAACAGGACCTGAGCTCACTGTCTTGAAGACCAGCTAAGCATCAGTCTTGAAATGAGACTCTCACAATTAGCATGGCAGAAGTCATCATGAAACCACTAGTAAGCAATATTGGAAGAGTTAAGTAAATTATGACCAGCTTTCAGATTCAACCAGTAACTAAGTAGTTTACTTAGGACCAGCTTTTCACCTTGGCCCCGGTGAAAATATTTTCAAAGTCTTGAACAACATTGTGAATGGTGTTGCTCCTCCGCGACTTGCCGAAGCCGACTATTATAGTCCTGATGCTGCGAATTTGATTTTGTCATGTTTAATGCCAGACCCAAGGCTGCGACCCACGATTGAAGACTTGTTTTACTTAACCAGTTCACTGATGCGTTCGACAAAGCTGTGTTAGCCCTTTGTGGTAAAAGCGATAAATTCCTTATTGCATTCTTATGAATCCAGGGGATTACACAGCTGTTCAGTTTATAGCTGTGGTTGTTTCAGCTCCGTCTTAGCGGAAATTCCTATCGTCATAGCTTATTTGAGGTGCGGTTTGCGGCGCAAGCTTTAACAGGTGTAAAACGGGTGGTTTCCTGCAGTTAACCCCGTTATGACGAAGAAAAACACCGAACCGAGGCTGGAACAAAGTCCAGCCGAAGTAATTTTTTTTGGTAGATATACTCTCTTCGACACGTTTCGTTTCGGCCGGTGTCGTGAATAGATTTATTGGAGATACGTTGAATTAAATGAGCAACGAAATTATTGCAATATAAGAACTGTTACAAGCTGAGATATTTTTCAATTTTTCTATATTTTTTCCCAGCTGTGTAGGACATGACACAAGTAGATCTAAATATATATTATTATTATTTACAGGATTTGCCAAAAGCGAATAGTTTGATACATTTTTTTTTCAAAAAAATTAAAAAACATCGAAAAATACGCGCATTTTCTATTCTATGGGTTCACGCTGGCGTGAACGATTTCGCTATAAAGTGTAGTCAGCGTTTCTTCTTTTGTTAGCCTGCGAGCAGGGACCACAGTTTTCGCGCTAAGCACCTTTCACATGCCAGAACAAGCACCGCGAGAAAGTAACCTTTGCTCGCATGTTGTGGCCAGGATTGTCGAACGCGAAAAAAGTCGGTTCCTGCATGAGTTAAGATCGTGTTTCGAATGCAGTAACAGCCTCTCTGTCAGTGCTCCTCGCTCCTGGATAACGCGCGTGGAAAAAGCATCCCCTTCACATGTTCAGGATGGCCCTGCCTTTCAGTAACAGGTACAACGGTTTACAATAATCAGGAGAAAGCAGGGCCGGCTGCGCTCACCTGCAACTCATTTGTATGTTAGAAATTTATTTTACTAGCCAAAAGCCAATTTCTTACAATTTTGTAAATGTCTAAAACATTTGTCATATCCGGGAGAATTTGTATAAAGTGAATAAAAACCAAATTTATGAACGAGTTGTTATGGCACGCTTTACGCTGCACAGCTGGCGTTAATAGAACATAAAAAAGATGATACATTAGCACTACCTCTGATCCTTGTCACAGGTAGTCACATGACCAGCCGAAACCAGCACTTATGTCCAGAAATGCATGCAATGGCGAAAATCGCCAGACAGCTGGCGATTCAAATAACTTGGATTTCGCCGTTTCCGTCATTTTTGCCAAATAAGCCATTCGCCAAATTTTTGCCATTTTCGCCAGTGCGTGCATTTTTGGACATACCTCGATACCAGAGTTCTTTCTCGAAGCAACGGAGAGAATCCTGGGAACGAGGTTGTGACGACGACGTATTAATGCATCCTCGGATACCCAGGGGCAGTCAGTCGGGTCGGGAGAAAGGGTAAGGCGAAAGTTTTCAAGTTCGGGTGAAAAAGCCTGTGGGTACCGACTCTCACCGAACTATTTCCAAAACTTCAAGCGGATGCCGGCTCCTGATTGGGCACAAAAAATGCTTTGTATTATTTTACCCAATCTGCGAACAGTTTCTCCTGAGTTCTTTTCGTGAGTTCGTACACGACGGCTATTGTCTTTCCACACTTGCCCGGTTCGTTCACCAAGCTTGTGCGAGCAAGGGAAACTTCTATTTTCTACCGGTCCTAACCAGAAACGAAGGAACTACCGATGAGTCGAAAAACGTTTGGGATGCTATCAGCAGGAGCAATTCAATTTGCCCCGCGAATATTCTTTTTGTGACTCGTCACAATGTATCGTAAATAATAGGGAGTTAAGGATGTGGCGGCGACGAGAAAGTCAAATAAGCAATAGCTTTACAAGGCGAAACAACAACTTTGCACGTGCATCACACTTTTTTTGTATATTTCTTTGCCGTCAACTGCACGCTTACCCGTTAAAATACCTAATTTTAGGTTTTGTGAAGGACGTAAACAAGCAATGACAAAATTCATTCTCTTCATGAACTTGGGTATGGTTGGTAGAAATTCAGCTCCAGAAGAGTTCGCTTGCATTTGACAAAGTAAGCGAGTTGGATAATCACGATAGAAACTGAAAAAATGTGAATTCCTTCCAAGAGACCTTTTCGAGGTTGTCAGCCGTCGTGGTATCTTTTAAAAATTCCCTAATATTTAATTTACGCAAGACGTGACCGATGCAAGCGTGAATACTTGTTGTAGGCTCAAGCTTAATTGTATTTTTGGAAAAGCGTCTTTGGTTTTCGGGCAGACAGTATTTTGAAATCAGATGGGGATTTTATATCAAACTGAAAGTTTGACTGCGAGCATTTCTTTGGTGCATGAGCCAGACAAGCCGTGATCCAAACAATAGCCGTCGTGTACGAACTCACGAAAAGAACTCAGGAGAAACTGTTCGCAGATTGGGCACAATAATACAAAGCATTTTTTGTGCCCAATCAGGAGCCGGCATCCGCTTGAAGTTTTGGAAATAGTGCGGTGAGAGTCGGTACCCTGGGGCTTTTTCGCCCGTACTTGAAAACTTTCGTCGCGCCTTTTCTCCCGACCCGACTGACTGCCCCTGGGTCTCCGAGGATGCGACGTATGGCGACACTGGCGACGGCTATCACATTTTCCCGCCAAAATGGCGCTGGTTCACGCGTACGCACTACATAGTATTGAGAAAATCTCGTGCTTGTAGTCGTCCTCTTCTTAGGGGTTTCTATTGGTGGGAGCAAGGCACAAAGGCCTGGGAGGCCTGGGAGCAAGTAACGACCTGATTCGCCCTCTCAATGGCCTTTTCGTGGCCAAACTATAAAACTAAACTTCGCTTCCTCACCGATGAACACCATAGTTTCTTCAGAAACAAACCTTTTCATTCATTAATTTTTGCTCTATTTTTCCTTATTCTACATGTACAGTCTTTCGGGTTCCAAATCTGAGAACGAATATGGTTTAAAGTGTCTCTTAAAATTCCACTTATCATGCGTGAGTTTTCTTTCTTCAAGATTATAAATATCACCGCCGCTTGGCGTTTCAGTTCACTTTAAAGTCACCCAGACGATATTGACATCATCGGCACAATCGCTCATTGTTGACGCAGATCATCGACTGCCAGTGTGCAGATACGACATAGTTATTGTTTCCCGGAATCTTTGTACGTTCATTCTCTTCAAAATCTCTCTGCTGTTCTACTCGCCACAGCTCTCATATTTCCATAAACTTTTGACGGTGGGCTTCCTGTAACACAAACATAACAATTCACACTATGACCACAGGCCAACCAGAATATTGTACTCCAGTGCAGCGATTTGTGCTTTTTACTGAAGTCCTTCCTTGAAGTATAATAAAATGGGAGCGTTCTGTCGGAGTATCCCCCAGGGTGAAAACATTAATACCAAATACTTAGAAAGCAATATTTACACATCAACATACCTAAAATGAGGCTACAAATTGCTGTTCTGGCAATTTTGATGTTCTGAAAGGATCCCAAGATATGGATTTTTCTGTAAAATTGAGATAAGCAAACCATGAGATTACCATAAAGTTATGAAAAGATCGAACCCTCGAAAGTAGCGAACCTCCGAAAGTATTGATAAAATGTCATAGGTGTTAACATAGCCTGCGAGCAAGCTCTCCTATTTGGGCGAGTGAAGCGAGTCTCGCGAGAACGCGCGATCGAGCGGCGAAGCAGGAGAGCTTGCTCGCAGGCTAGTGTTAGCAAAGTAGCGATCTCCCCGAAAATAACGACCCTCTGAAAGTGGAGACCTCAAAACTAACAAATGCCACACTGATCGGAGGTTTGTTAATAATGATTATTTGACATTCCTATTCATAACTCTTAAAGTACTTTTTGTCAAAAAGTCTTCCTTTCAAATTTTTTGCGATTATTTTTATCTTTTGAAGTGCCCATGTGGAGTACACATTTTAGCCATCCGAAAGTAGCGAGCCTCCGAAAAAGGCGACAGCAGAAGGGTGCTAAATCCGAAAGTAAAGAGGGTCGTTTCTTTCGGAGCTTTACGGTATTGCAATTACAAAAGAAATAAAAAGCTTATAAATGCTAAAATAAATGGTAAGAAAAAGCTTAAATGGTTAAAACTCACGAGTCAGCAAGAATGATTCTGGTCTTTGATACATTTTCAATGGTAAATTTTGTCTTGCCTCCCTTTCCAGCAATACGCCCTATGGCTCGTGAGAGGTGATCTCCTTTCAGTGGCTTAACTGTTGAAAACAAACAAAAACTTATTTAATCACCTTGTATTTTTGAATAAAGTAAAACCCAGCACTAAAAGAGATATGGAAGACATAGTTGATATTAAAAGGGGAGCGCAGCAGTCGCTCTCATGAAAAAAAATAAAAATTTGGTCGAAAAAATACAAAAGAAACATGATGTTAAAAGGGATAATTTAAAATATTTAGAAACTGCCAGAATAATAATTTATTTGCAATTCACAAACAGTAGTTTTAAAACTTTTAAAATGATTGGTTGAACATTCGTGGTTTCCCCTTGATGCAGATCAGGTTTTTTTCTTAAGATTGTACAGATTCCTTTTTGCTGTGCTTTACTTGGTCACTTGGGGAAGAATAAGAATTTACAATAGAGTAGCAAGCATGGGAAAGAGCCTTTTCAAGTCTTTCATGACTTTATGTTTAACAGTTACTGTCACTTTAAAAACTTCTGGTGTTCAACAAAATCTGTGCCATTCACGCTGTTTCATGACTTGTTTCTATCTTACACTGTCCTTGCTTTACTATCTACCAAACATAACTTTAATTTTCCTGTTCCATGAATTTTCAGGTCTGACAATTAATAAATTCCATGACTTTCCAGGCCTGGAAAATGAAATTCCTAAATTTCATGTCCTTCCAGCTTTTCCATGACGTGTATGAACCCTGTAAAAATCAATTCTGTTTTGGTTCTTAAAATAAAAAAGATGTATCTTACCATCAGCAATTTCAAAAGTTTCCAGAAACAAATCATCCAGTCTGACCAGAGCCAAGGCATCCTAAAGAAACGATTGGGTAAATATTCAATTATCTCTACAGCTTATAAAAGCATTACCTTCACAGCCCTTTTAACAGGAATGTGGTTTTCAGAATGCGTTCTTGCTGTCAATGAGTCTCCACAGGACCTGAGCTCACTGTCTTGAAGATCAGCTAAGCATCAGTCTTGAAATGAGACTCTCACAATTAGCATGGCAGAAGTCATCATGAAACCACTAGTAAGCAATATTGGAAGAGTTAAGTAAATTATGACCAGCTTTCAGATTCAACCAGTAACTAAGNTGTCACTTTAAAAACTTCTGGTGTTCAACAAAATCTGTGCCATTCACGCTGTTTCATGACTTGTTTCTATCTTACACTGTCCTTGCTTTACTATCTACCAAACATAACTTTAATTTTCCTGTTCCATGAATTTTCAGGTCTGACAATTAATAAATTCCATGACTTTCCAGGCCTGGAAAATGAAATTCCTAAATTTCATGTCCTTCCAGCTTTTCCATGACGTGTATGAACCCTGTAAAAATCAATTCTGTTTTGGTTCTTAAAATAAAAAAGATGTATCTTACCATCAGCAATTTCAAAAGTTTCCAGAAACAAATCATCCAGTCTGACCAGAGCCAAGGCATCCTAAAGAAACGATTGGGTAAATATTCAATTATCTCTACAGCTTATAAAAGCATTACCTTCACAGCCCTTTTAACAGGAATGTGGTTTTCAGAATGCGTTCTTGCTGTCAATGAGTCTCCACAGGACCTGAGCTCACTGTCTTGAAGATCAGCTAAGCATCAGTCTTGAAATGAGACTCTCACAATTAGCATGGCAGAAGTCATCATGAAACCACTAGTAAGCAATATTGGAAGAGTTAAGTAAATTATGACCAGCTTTCAGATTCAACCAGTAACTAAGGGTGCTCACCATTTGCCAGAACTGCAGGGTTGTCACTAAGATTTCAAGTTGCCGGGTATTTGTTGTTAGTAGCCGGGGAAGTCGCAAGCAGTCATGGAGCCTCCCCTCCCCCAAGAAGTTTTTGAAGTGCAACTTCTACCGTTTTCCAAAAGGCATTACCGCCCCAAAAAGGCAATCTTCATCAAGAGTACAGCTATCATTCCCGGTTTTATGATGACCACGTCTTTATTAAAGAAAACTACAACATTCTGAGACACTAAAATAATAACTTTTTACTTTACGTAAAGGCTTGTTGGAGGGTTTTTTTAGTTGCCGCCAAATGGGAATATACATGTAAGCACCGGGCCTGAAAAAAATGACAGGTTGGCACCGGTCACGTTATCTGCGCAGTCTTATCTTCACGCAGACAAGGCACATGCTGGCCAGTGAAGTGTTAAATCACAACGATACTTTACAAATGTTACAAATGTGGAAAGGACAATCGATTCTTATACGGTGCAAATGAATTAACATGCGCTGTAAAATCAATAGTAAATCCTCATTTAGTTATACGTAAGAACGAAACAACTTACGGATAACAAATGTAAAACTAATATTACAGATGTATTAACCCACGGAGAAGCGGAAAGAAGACAAGCGGACGATGAATGTACGAAAAAGCATCATAAACATAAGGTTATTATGGTTTGTTGAAAAAATAAAAGTATGATAAGGCTAAAACAAGCGTAACGTACGAAAAATCGCGGGATAAAATATGGCAAAACTAAACTGCACAACTGGTAACATTAGTGGTCTCGAATTTATGTACGAAACGTCACTTAACATACGAAGAAACTGACCTACCGAAAAGTGTTTAAAAGACGGGGCTAATACTTTATAAACTACGCTGAGATGTCAAAACGAGACTCAAGGAGAAGAACGCAAAAGTAATGCTATACTTAACTTCCCTTTTATATTTAACTTCTTGGAAGTAGCATTGAGAGGATGTGATAGACCTGAGGACAATGATCGAACATTTCCCGTTGACCGTGCGTTATTTTATATACTCCATAACTAAAGCTAAATGTAGACCTGGTCATTTAAATGTCAATATATTAAAGATGGCAATCAGTCATAGTCTTCATCTTCAAGGCCTTCATCATAATCCTCATTATCATCAACATCAGCATCAGGGAGATTTAACGCTCGGATGAAGCCTCAACTTGTGATATCAACAGAGATCTGCTCAGGTCTCTCATCGTGAACAAAGAGTGCAGATTCCTTTGGTACTTCTTCGACATGTTCAACAAAAAGCCGACACAACGGTTGAAACTAAGGACTTTTAGCATCGACAAAGGTGATGGCAGCGAAAACGTCACTTTTAAAATGAATTGGCGTTTTTTCCAACTTTGTCGGGTTTATTTCAATTCGCTGAAAATAGCTAATGTAGGCCAATTTCCCTGGAGTTGATTTCTTTGGGCGCACTCAAGTTTAGAGAGAGAAAGAAAAGTTTGTCGTCGCTTGTTTTACGTCCTCCATAAAACGTGAAACTAGGCATTTTCACGTCGTAGTCGTGCAGTAACGACAAAGAAATGTACAAAAAAGCGTGATGCACGTGTAAACTAGTTGTTTTGCTCAATAAACCGATTGCTTTTTTGACGTTCTCGTTGCCGTCGCCGTCGTCGTTGCTAAAACTCCCTACTGACATTTCGCGAACGCAGAGATTTCACGCGTGTGTACTAGTACCAAATCTAAGTCAGATGTCTTTTTCCGACATTTCTTAGTATTTGCACGCGAGTATTTCAAAATTACTTAAACCTGCTGCAGATGAAACTTGCATTAGTTTAATGGATAGTCTTTGTGTGCTTCAAAGGTGTGCTCTTTTGGTTTAATTTAACGACGAAAGTAGCTGGGGGCTATGCTCTGAGTAGCCGGGGGAAATTCCCGGCCCCCGGCCCTTAGTGGCAACCCTGAGAACTGACTGGGACTGGCCAGACCAGTAATTTGTAAGGAGAATTCCACTATTGACCAGGACTATCTGGCCAGATCGGTTTAAACAGTGTGCACGGCAGCAATCAGTTTAAGTTACAAGTTCACCTAAATACTAATATTTCATTTTCAAAATGTTTGGTCTGGCCACCCAGTCTTGACTATAAAAGGCACCTTAACTAAAACAATATATTGTGACACATGTAGCTATCAAAAACATGATATAAAGAACCACCCATCATACTTACCTCTACCTCAAATCCAAGAAGAAACGCCTGAACAAAATCGGCTGCTTTTTGAATGGCACCAATATCTGTAGTGTCTTTGGAGGTCTGAAAAACAAAAACAAAAACAAAAAAAGAATTCAGAAACAGAGATTAAAGAAGCTGTGCTGGTTTTCATGAACTCAACTCACCCAGGGCCACCTAAACTTCACTAAGCAAAGCAGTTCACAACTACAATAAAGGTGTCTGGCTTTGGCAGTTCCCTAGGGGGGTACTCTGAATTTCAAGCGACAGGGATTACCAAATTGGGTCCAAAATCAAAACCCAAAAAAATCCTTAGGGCTTCCAACAAAACCCCAAAAAATCCCTGGACCAAAAATAAACCCCCCCAAAATCCCATGCCAAATTTCTGAGCCTTCAAAATCTCCAGAAAGGAAAACTAGTTTGGTTCTACTTTAATTGAAGAACTGCCTGGCCGGGATACACAGCCATTCGGCCATATGGGCCGGGGCCACCTAAAAAAATACTTGACAAATTTAACTACCCAAAAAACTCTCGGAATCAAAAATTTCCACCCCCCAAAAAAGCTTCAGTCATCCTCATCACCTGAAATCTGGAGTACCCCCCCCCCCCACCCCCGCCCCCATTATCCAATCGGATATGAGACAATTTCTGAGAATTTCGAAAGAGTCGGGGCCCTGGTTAAGAAAGTTTTACTGGCACATTAAAAAAAAAACATACAAAGAGATCAGAATGATCTAGATTTGCAACAAAAAATTGTCATTTATTGATCAGGCAACCAATTTTTTTAGGTCCGAGATCAATGTTACAGACATTTTAAGTAACAAATCAGATTTTTGTCTGCTTTTTGTCACATTCATGGGACCTAGGTCCCACAGGAAGTGAGCCAGGATTTTTTCTTTAGAACTCAATCCATGTGCATAACTAGTCCAGTTACTGGCAATGGTGATCGCACGCTGGTTGTTAATTGTTTTCAAGAGTTATATAGTTTTTAGACAGTTTTGTTGTTTACCTTTTTACATTCATCTATAACTACATATACCTTGCAAGACAGTAATGGCAAGGTAATTTATAATGAATTATGTGGTCATGTAAAAAGATTTTAGATCTAAACAGAGTAAATGAGATTCACTTGTCTGTTGCATAGTTATTGAGGTGTTTTTACTAAATTAAAGTAAAAAGTATAAGCATAATTTCTGCATTATTTTGCTAAAATTAGCATAATTCTCAAAAACAAGCATAACTTTGAGAAAAATCAGGCACTGCTACTGGCATAATATTCTACTTTTACTAGCACAATAATTATTGATAAAGGCCTAAATACGTAAGACAGCAAACAAGTTTTAGAGTGAAGGTTTGCAGATTGCTGCTCCCTAGTACAGTTAAAAAATCAATCATTGATGAATCTCAATTTCCAATATCAATTGAAAGAAATTGATAAAAATAAGTTGTGACTTCGATTTCGGAAATAGATAATGATTTTTTTTAATGATTGTTATCAATTGCTATTGATTATTATCAGAAAAGACTTAAGTCATTATTCAGTAGAAGTTCAACATTAACACGACGTTGTCCATACTGCATTATTGAGTCATTCAGCCGTGCAGTTCTTTTAATGATAAAATACTAAAAGAACAAAACACTAACTGGAAAAAATTGCTCTTTGTGTTGATTTTTTTAATAGCTTAAGCACAGTTCATAATAAGGAAAGAAATATAACCGCTGCGAAAGTGTCAGAAAATAACTCTTTGTCGCTGAAGCAACCTCATAAATTAAAATAGAGCATAGTAAAGAACAAAATCAGTGTTCTTATGATTTCAATGAGTCGCATTAAGAAAGAACTACGTCTGGATTGAATGGACATTGTAAAGATCTATTAAAACAAACCAGGAAACAAAATAAACAAAAAAAGGAAATCTGGTGAAGACTGCACCTAGAGTAGTTACTGAAGTCATCAAAAACTAAATGCCTGGTGTTAAGCTAAAGTCGGTCTCATGGGTGTTGCTTGCCAAATGGCATCGTCATGTTCAGAATATTCACTTCAAGATTATTGCTTACAATCGATTCCTACAGATTGTTATTGATTTTGTTAATCAATAATAATCGATAAAGTAGTTTTCTGTGACTTCGATTTCTATCAATTTTCGACATCAATCGATATTAATCGGCTGGTTAAATCTATTATTATTGATGATATTAATTGATTTCCGATATTGATTTTCATCGATTAACTACATCTGGTATATATAATTTAAATATTTCATTGTAAGGCGCATTTGAAAACCTGGTTGAATTTGCACGGTACAAATGAATATATAATAATTGTATATATATAATAATTATATATTCATTTGTTATTTGTTGTTGTTGTTATTATTATTATTACCATCATAATTATCATTACTAGTTTTGTTTGATGGTGAAAACAAATCTGCAGGAGTTGAACCCCGGGGAAAGCCAATGATAAGTGCGTAATGTGTGGGTTTGCCAGTGAGGTGATGGCAAGGCTTTTTTCTAGTCCACTTCAGTTTTGGGCAGTGTTTGTTCATTGTTTTAAGATTTGTGCGGACCACTGACTAACTGTAGGGATTATTTACTATTTATAAATCAATTAAAAGCTTAAATGGTATTGGTTATGGAATACCTTACCCGAATTTCGACTTTTCTTGCACTCAAATTAAAACGAATTTGTAGCTTCAAGTGTTCCACGATGGGTGTAAAGATTTTCATCCAGTTTTCTTTCAGAGGTGTATATCGGTGTGGTGGAACCGGTATTTTTCTAGCCTCTTTTTTACCATCCTATAATGCAAAGTAACAAAATGAATCCGAAAATCTATCCAAGCAAGTCCATTAGTTGTCGTTGTTGATCGAGCATGCACGAACAACAGAAATTTTTACGTGCTAATGCTATACCATCAATTTCTCGGCTTTTGCCGGCGGAAAACTAGGTCGCCTTGATGCCTCAGTAGTGTCCATATCTTCAACTTGCCCTCTTTTTCGTTTTCTTTTCACTGGAACAGTTTTAAACGGCTCTTCGTCTGCTGTTTCGCTCGCCATCTTTTCACTTGAGCTTTCCGCCATGTTGTTTTCGCACGTGTCGCAAGAGTGTCGCAATCGAACATTTCGTTCCCAGTTCTCGCTCAATCCGGTCAAAGTGATTTTGTACCCCCGCTATCCCCACCCTACCCCAGAGATCACCTACGTGTCAAGCTGAAACGGCAAAAAGCTTGATATGTAAATGTTTATCGCATAAATGTAACGCCATTAGCGCGTTATAGGTATCCCCGGTTACCCTTCCAGGATAACAAGATCACTAAGTGATTTGATCACTGAGAGATTGGCTCAGTCCCCCATCAGTTTAATACATTGCATGTTCCTTTTTTCATTTTTCCCGGCTCTGTGTGCTACACAAATGTCCTCTCCCCAGTGTTGGTGAATAGAGGGTAGAAAACGAGGGCCAAGGAGCCAAAGACCTAAAAACAGAACTTCCCCCTCCCCTCCCACCTTCTTTTAAATGTCCTATAAATAGTTCAAAACAACTATCTTGAGCTTTGGTAAAGAATAACAAGATCTTCAAATTGTCTTCGTCTTCCTTTAATTTCTGACAATGCCAAGTAAATTGGTCGTTGGAGCATTTGGCTCTCCTGTCATGTCTGGAGGGGGGATATGGCCCACCCTATAATCATTTGCGATTTTGGAACGGGGTTGGATACCCAAAACATGAGGATACCCAAATCACTGTCACTCACTCACTCGGATCAATAAATCTTGATTGATAATGTTCAGTGGGGATTACGCATGGGTAATTTGTAGCACTTGAATATTATTCACTCCATGGTTGGTCTCTGTTTCATCTTTTGTCCAAAGAGATTGTTCAAGGAAAACAAAACTCAGAGCATATCATGCTGCAAAGGGTGGTCTGCAGGCTACAAAAGATCAGGTATTTTGGTCCTCCATCTAAACTTGTACGCCACCACCAATGGGCGGTGTGTGTCTTTAAGGATAAGCCTAGACTATCACGTTAAAAAACAAAAAATCTTCAGACATTACTTTGTTATGAAATAGCTGGTTTTTATTCAAACCTTCTAAAATACAAAGCTTAATCAATACCTTACCTCTCCTTTAGAATAATCAGCTTCCATGGCAGAGGCAAAAATAGGTAGGGGGAGGGGAAGGGGAAAAAAAATGAAAGGGAAAAGGGAGAGAGAGCCTCCTCTCTTTCCAGTCCCCCTTAATTCTCTTTTTCCTTTCCTCCTCTACCAGGCCAGCCTGCTCCTCTACAGTACCTCTTACAATGCTAGCCTGTTCCTGGCATTCAGATGGTGGGGACGGTGCAAAGAAAAGTGGGAAGAAAATGACAGCAAAGATTCCTTTCTTCTGCTTTTTTTCAAAGCACTCTCCATCTTGCACCAATCTCGACTATCTTAATGTTTGTGACAGGCTAGTATTTCAACACCTATCATGCAGACTACTAGCCTCCTGGGCAGACATTCTTAGGGGTTCGTCACACATTCCTGCCCCACTAACTGTTGGTGGGGCATGAACGTGTGACAAACCCCTAGGAATGTCTGCGTGGGAGGTTACAATACTAGACGCCTATAGTACAATTAAAAAACACTTTTACTACCCTCCTAAGAAGCAAAATAATCTCATCTGATAAACCTATTCATTTTCTTAGCACAATTTCATTTAGCTAGGTAATGTCAATATATTAGCTTTTTAATTAGCAAAAAAACTCATTAACTATGTCTTTTTTTCCAGCTGTATAGAATATATGAAAAAATTAATTCTAATTTTTTGTGATTAGGGCATAAGGTCTAATTAGTCCTTCAGGTAAAAATGATCATTATATCAGTCCTATTTAATAATGTGATATTATAACAAATAATAACAATATGTTGCTTTCAACACCCCCACAACCAGAGCAATTAAAATGGGCCAGCCATTTTGTTACTAAAATGGGGTAAATGTTGTTGCACACATATTTTCATTATAAAACATTCACCTAAAGGAGAGAGTTGCAAAAAACAACTTCACTGTTTTTGACTCATAGCACTTCAAACTTTATCATCAATCATTCAACCTACCTTCGTAGCAAAAGGAGAAAATAAATGAAAATAAAAAATAATATCAATCGGCCCTTCCAGAGTAAACTTTTCTATGATTCATGGCTGAAAAATAGTGTTTACAAACACATAACAGAGAATTGCAACCAACATTTTGAGACTAACATTTTCCTTCAGCATCTGGCAACTATACAAAATAAGCACACAAAAAATTTTGAAATTCAGACCAGGGACAAAGGACCTTCTTGTCAAGGCCCTTCATTGCACTACATTAACTTTTATAAATCTTGGATCACTATCATCTATAAATCATGTTCTATCTTTTTTCTTTACAACAAAGCAGAAATGGGTAAAATTAATGAAAAAATTATCATAATTTATACGTTACAGATCAAATTTGATCTCAGATTTACTTGACTTAACCTAAGTTGATTCTTGATTCCCTTTTTCTCCTAGCCCCACAAGACAAAGAAAATGGAGAATCAACCTAGATTACAAAATTTTCACCTAAAAATCAAATTTGAACAGTAAAATATTCACAAATTCAACTTCATGTCAGGTGTAAATTTAACTTTGAGACTTTCGCCTTTTAGAATTTCCTAATTTCTTTGAAAATATAATGACTTTAGGATTGTCTGGATCATTTTTAGACACCTGCATGTCTACTTTGTCCCCCTGCTGTACAATGTAATCCATTAAAGCATTGATGCGCATTGTCGTAAAAGCAATGATGTCCTTTACAATAAGAAGAGCCTGCTCTACTTGTTGGACATTCAGTAGCTCTACGCTGTGCCGCACACCCATTATATTCACACTAGTCTCCCTGTCATCTTTAAAATGACCAATCAACTTCTCCAGATCTTTCTGAATCAAGGCTCCCTCGACCTTCACAAAATGCATTCTATCTGATATTTCACGAAAGAGGAAGATGGCTGTCTTGAGGGTATCTGCTACTGGTTCTTTAAGACTGTCAACTGACACCAGGGGATGGACATCAAGGTGAAATTCGTATTCACCTTCCACATTTCCATAGCTGAAGCCAATCCTCATGTCTAGGAAAAAAAACCCCTTAATATGAGTGTCGATGTATTAGGCTCCTACTAGATAGCCTGTGTACAACCCCCCCTCCCCTCCCTACAGGAAAAATCAGAGAAGGGGCATCTGTGATTTACCATTGCTAATCGTGTATGGAGGCCATGTGATTTTTCCTGGAATGTGTGGAAAATGATTTGATTGGCTGTTACTTGTTAGATCACTACATCATGTAAA